TACACACACGCTCACAGCACACTTTTCTTCATAAGGAGGGGGGGGGGCAATATTCCAGGAAAATCACGGCGGGGGACACCAGAAATGGGCTTCACACATTGTACCCATGTCGGAATCGAACCCGGGTCTTCGGCGTGACGAGCGAACGCTTTAACCACTAGGCTACCCGACCGCCCTCGTGTGTGAAATAAGTTGTCCATACCAGTGGTATGTTCCCGTTGTATGCCCGGCAGTGACAGGGTCTTTGTCCCTTTGCTACTCGCTGTCTCACAAACTCTTCGGTAATTGGACATTGACGGACAGTGTGAATGACTTCAAGATCACCGTCAAGTCATTAATCTGTCTGTCACCCTTCACTCAACCGAACCATGGCATGGGCCGGGGTTGACCACAACGCGCAAACGCCAAACTTGTGCCATGTTGCCTGGCAACTGTCCATCAACCCGCGCAACAAGCCCGTCATCAGGTGTTGGGTCGTGTGGTTGTCCCGCTCCTGGATGCGTGTCATTGTTGTTTACTGTCTCCACATGTCGCATACTTCCTTAAGTCACCATTGTTTCAAGCTTATAACGCCTTGTTCAAGATGTGTTTCGGCGCTCGCTCAGTTATATGTGGGCATAGTTTATGATCATCGTTCTTGTTTTGTCCCTGTCTTTTCGTCTGTGTGTTTGTTGTTTAACGCCGCACTCAGCAATATTCCAGCTATATGACGGTAAATATAATCGCGTCTGGACCAGACAATCCAGTGAATGACATCATGAGCATCGATCTACGCAACTGGGGTACGATGACATCAGCCTTCACGTTTTACCGGTAATTACCAGTTTTCCTACCGGTAAAATTAGGCTTGGACTTTCATGTGACTGCTAGTCCCAGAGGACCGGCCAATAAAGTACCTTAAAAATAAACTGACGACCAAAAGAAACTTTACCAACTGAAAATATGAATTTCAGACAAAGTATAAAAAAGAATTCGATGAAGTCTATCTAAAACACATAACCTAAATACAACAATAGTGTATGCATAAAATGTTAATCGTCTGTTACATGTTTGCGAGATAACACGCGAAAAAGTGAAAAACACGTGCACCACGGACAACTGCAAATGCACGTGCGGCTAAGGGTATAAAACGATTGCAACGGCAAGTCAGACATCCACAGTAATAAAAAAAAACACAAAAGAAATGCCACGACTCACAGTCGAACAACGTGAAGGAGCCTTGGGTATGGCACAGATTGGAGCCACCCACGCCCATATTGCACGAATCTTCGGTTGCTCCCGTGTTGCCGTTACCAACCTGGTGCAACTTTACAGACAGACAGGGAGGACCGCTGACAGGCCAAGAACAGGCAGACCCAGGGTGACCACGCCCCATGATGGACGGTACTTGCGTACCTTGCACCTCCGAAATAGCTTCCTGACAGTGACGTCATCGGCGACAAATGCCTTAGATCACAGGGTTAGTCGACAGACAGTGGCCAGGAGACTCAGGGCTCATGGAATCAGGGCTTTTAGACCATACAGAGGACAGCTATTGACAGCGCAACATCGTCGTCTGCGATTGAGATGAGCCCGGACTGTACGACGTTGGCAACGACGTGACGTGCAAAGGGTTGTCTTCACTGACGAAAGTCGATTCTGCATGTTTAGGGCTGATGGAAGACAACGTGTTTACCGCCGAAGGGGTGAACGAACGGCGGCGTGTTACGTGCAGGAGGTCGTACCATATGGTGGAGGGAGTGTCATGGTGTGGGGAGGGATCTGTGGGCAGGAGAGGACACCGCTTTTATCGCTGACGGAAACTTGATAGCTCAGCGTTACATGGATAACATTCTTCGTCCAGTTGTCCTACCATTTCTCCAACAGCAGCCACGGGGTGTCATTTATCAGCATGACAACGCTAGAGCCCATACAGCCAGAATTGTCACTAACTTCCGCGCAGCCAACAACGTCAACGTCCTGCCGTGGCCTGCACGCTCACCCGACATGTTCCCCATAGAACACCTCTGGGACTTGATGGATCGTCGTGTTCGACAACGACCACACTCTCCAGCCAACCGGCAAGAACTGACCTTGGCCCTCCAAGATGAATGGCGTCAAATCCCACGTGACCTCATCAGACGACTGACTAGGCGTCGAAGAGTTTTTGCGTGTATTGAGGCATTTGGTGGTCCCTCACGCTACTAATGACTTGTTATTGAACGCGAGCGATTGTTTATGTACTCTGCCTATTGTTCATGATTCTTAAAGCTCGAGTTTTGTACCACAACCAACTTTGGGGGATCTGACTTCATTCTCGGTCACGGTATGATTGTCATTTTCAGTGTTGCTTATGTTGATATATTGATCTTCTCAATACACTATACTTCATGCATGTATGTTTTGTTGTCTTTCAGCAAGAGTGATTTCAAACTCTGGTAAAGTTTCTTTTGGACGTCAGTTTATTTGTTGTTGAACAAAACATCGGTGATATTCGTATAAGTACATTTTTCTGGTCTGGTAATGTTTAGAGTTGCCATTTGACGAGGAGTCAGCGAACCTGACCACCCGATCCCGTTGGTCGCCTCTTTCGACAAGCATAAGTTTCTGAAGATCAATTCTAACCCTCTTCACTGGTTGTCCCTGTCTTCCGTTGAGACTGAGTGAGTTACACCGAAGTGTTTGTTGGTTGTCAGCGCTATGTCAGCTTATCACGGTGGTTGGTAAGTAGTCGTGTCTGGACCAGACAATTGACATCACGGGCATCGATATTCGGAATTGGGTTACGATGACATGCATCAACCGTGTCAGCGAGCCTGGCCACCCGATCCCCTTGGTTGCTTCAAACCACAAGAGTACTGGTAATCCAGGATAAGTTGAACTAACTCGCAAAACGCGTTTGAGACAAGTAGGCTGTGCACAGAATTTGGGCCAACATTTGGTTTGTTAGAGTCGAGGTAGAGTGTGTATATACGCATGTGGTGTGTGTGCAGGTCACCACGAGGAAACTGTCTACGCTCCCGTGGACACGCGTGTTGCTCAGAAGACTATTAAGCCGGCGTGACAAGTCAATACCAGAATTCTCTAAAAGCGGTTTGAAAGAAGTTAATTACAAACAAATAAACATGCCAAACCTAGGCAAGCATGTCCAAAACATACATTATCATGCTCGATAATTGGCCTATAATGTCATAAATTACAAGGAGAAAGAATGCTTGAATACATAATCTCAAGCATTGTATAAAGTTAGTATTGCCACTATCTCTCTGTATCTCCGCTAATGCGCATCAGAGCAGAAGGTATCACCCGTGGCAAAAGCGAGAGTAGTTTCATTAGCCAAGGTAAGTCGCGAAATCGTCCAGTGATCAAATCCCAAGTTGACGATTTAGACCAGTTTGCGCAGTTTGCAATTTGTACACAATTCGTATGTAGTGCGAAAACAACTGCCAACTCTAGACAGTGTCTATGACATGATCAATATTGATTTGAAATATGCGGATCTAGAGAAAGCTTATGGTTATCTCTAAAACACATGGGATTTAGATGGCGTGAAACGCTGTCAAGTCACAAGGTGTTAGTGGAACGGAAAGATATTGTTGCAGAGCGCATGCAGTATTTATGTGCAATAACAAACGCACAGATGAGAACCGACCAATCATCTTTATTAATGAAACGTGGCTGCATGTGCACCACGCTGTCCCAAACTGTTGGCAGTTGGAGGTGATGTGGCTATAGGAGGGGCTCAACCCCCGTCCGGTGCAGGACCTCGGCTGATCATAGAACATGCAGGGTTCAGAAACTCGTTAGCCGACGCACATATCCATCGTACTATATGTCGCTGACCAGCCGCTACACCTTTCTTCACGATGGTATGCGCCAGTGGGCAGACCTCATACATAGTCATACAGGGTTTATTGCCAGGTCACAACTCAATTTATCCTGGCTTATTAGTAGTTTGCTGAAGACCAATTCTAACCCGGATCTTCACGGGCAAGACAAAATAGTGGTCGATAGTATGAGCAACGATTCACGCCATCTGGACACAATAAGACTCGGATCAAATAAATTTCAATATGTGAATTAGCTTTCACATTAGCAAGACGTTACGCAGGGAAGTAAGTTAGCTAATACATAATAGGTGCGAGGAATATTTCACCAGTGCTCCCCCATTAATTTTCTAACAAGGTAATTTCTTCTGTTTGCAGCTGGTTTTATGATACATTAATAGGAAGCTTGAAGTTCTTTTGACATGTATTGGCGTTTGACATTTCGTGTGAAATGTTATCACAATTTTTTAAAAGCCAAATAAATATGTTTGAAAAAGGGATTTGTTGGAAGCATCCCATATTCGTAATTTGAGCTAAGGAAAGATTTCTAAATTGGCGACAGTTATAATAGAACATGGGTGAATGCCATTACGGCAGAATAGGGGTGCCCAAGAACGCCTTAAGGATTGAGAATAACTCTTACAACTAATCCCTAAAACAGCACTATGTCTTTAATCCATTATATACCACCATTATTGTCAATAATATTTCCCCATATTTCCATGTTATGTCGCGATAAAGCAATTGGACCTTCATTGTTGCTGTTTGTTTAACGCCGCAATCATATATATACCGGCTATATGTCGACGGTCTGAACCAGACAATCCAGTGAAGGACATCGTGAACATCGATCTACGGATACAATGACATACAATCCACCAAGTCACCAAGCCTGATCACACGATCCATTTAGTCGCTTCTTACGACAATGATCGGTTGCTGGGGACCTAGATCTTACCGGGATTCATACGAGATCCTATATACCCTCTGAATTACGTCGAGACAAAATTTGCTGTCCATTTTGTGTAATTTTTTAAGTAGATTTAATCATTTTGGAAAATGAAGTTAAGTACCAATTAGATGTGCGAAAAACAACAACTTTCCTTCAGATTCAATAGACTGAAAAAAAGCAACTCTAATGTAAGGGAAACAACTCCAATAGCTCGTTCGTCGAAAGACTCTTTTGTGTTTAGAGATAGAAAGAAACCATCGTTGATAATGCAAACGATCCGCTAAGCAACGGTGGTAAGCCCTGAAAATTAGGAAATGCATGATGTATCATGTTACATAATGGTTGCATTGACTAGTGACAGTTAGCCAGACAAACGGTGTGATGTTTTTATGTTTAGTTGTTGAGAATATATAGGGTACGTGTAGTTCACCCACCTGAAGATCATCGCGTCGACAACACAAAGACAAGATAATATTTCCATGAGATCTCATGATTCATTGTTGCTGATAGTTCTTTCCAAAAGGAAAAATGAACTGGGAAAGTAAATTTTCGTCAATTGTCCAAGAAACAGAAGCCAACTTGGCGAAGGTGAAAGTAAGTATGCGTTAATACGGCGTGTTTGCAAGCTTTATCTGTTTATCGCCTTTTTTTAGTGCTATTTAAAAAAATATTAGAAAATAAAAATACATAGTTTTTTATTTTTGTACGAGAAATGGATTTGAGTCTATTTGGGAGAGATTATAGAATCTGTTCCCCAACAAAGAGCATCCCAAAAACTTTATCCAAAGACGTATATAGGTCTTTGCTTTATCTCATCCATCTCAAGATTGCTAATACAATCCTCACTGATGTTGTGTGCCTCTTCAGTCCCCACGGTTAGTTGTGTTTATGTTCGGGTAGATTTTCCCCAACTTTATCCTTAACCCTTGGATCCTTGAATGAAAGTATACTATGGTGGCTTGGATGTCTGATAGACGACGATGAGAGGGAGTTAAAAAAAGGGTCGCTACTTGATGCAGGCTTAGAAATTAGCACTAGCCTGCTTGTCTGGACCAGTTCTACTAATGTTGAAGGTATCCTACAGGCTAGTCGAATTTCATTTTTTGGGTTATGGCTACATGTTATCACTATTCGGGCTGGTAGACTTACTTGGTTAATTTCTATTCCTGTTGATGTGCTCATGTGTTTTGTGACAAGCCGTCACTTGGAGTCAAATGATTTTAATTTTGTAACCATGTTCACCTTTTAAGCACTCTGATTGCTTCACCCTCTGAGTATATGGCCTGGTGCTTAGTGTGTATATATGTGTCCTGATATTTCTTTTTCCTTACAGCAAAAGTTAAGAAGTAAAGCAAACCTGTCTCCGGATACAGTTTCCTTAGACTGTGAGTATCTAAGTTCTTGTGTTTTTGTGTATCTTGAACCGATGATAAGTGACCAGTTTGGACAACAGGATGTCCCAAAAGAACCCAAAAGTTTATCTGTGATTGTTTGGAAATTAAGAACGCACTTATGAGAGCGGGGCGCTTATTACGTCGAATATGGTATATAAGAAACAGCTCTTTTAAGCTATATTTCTCTTTGCAATCCCCCTTGGAATGTATAGCTAAATGGTTTTTCAAGTACTGGTAGCTCATTCAGTTTAGTGACCCAGAGTTATATACATGCCTCCCTTCACTCTTAGTAGTCTATTATAATTTCGCAGGGCCAGTATGTCAATTCCACTCTGCATGGTCTCTACAATGTCTTGTTTTCACACAGACACTCCATCTCCCCTCTTGTCTACATCACTGGGCCACTACCCAGCATCCTCTACTCCTAGAAGTCGACTGACAGACAGATATGGTCACAACATGATCAACTCTAACATACGTCAGGAGCTCACTGGGATGCCACAGTCCAGTACCTTACAACTACAGGAGAAAATTGAAGAACAGAATGCGGTAATTTATCAGTGACAACCTTTTGACCAATCTACATGTTAAAAATCTTTGTTTTACTTAATGATTTTCATTACTCAAATTCACAAATCTAAACTTACTAATACAAAACCTGAGTGAAATGTCTTACACAGAGTTTGAAATTATCCTTACCACTTCTTTGAACAAAATTGTACCAAAAAGGCTCTTAGAACAATCCAGAAGGGTTCAAAACTCCAGTAAATTGTTGTGACCTCAGAAATAATAGCCATTGATGAATATAATGAATCCAAATTCATATGAATGTGTCTGTGAAATTTGGTAAGTATAAAGCTTTAAGTTATGTAAGTAAAAGTAAGTGTTTCCCTCTTTTGGAAAAGATGTTTTGTGACTGTACTTTTCCAAGGAGTATATTAACCAACATTTGTAACAGCTAACGTCTCTTAAAGACACATTGTCAGTTACAAGTAGGGTAACAAAACTGAGAGAAAAGATACTGGTTGATTGTCATGATGGTCATCTGATGCTGAGTTGGCAATGATTGTGTTTAATAAATGCTTTTAGTTTATGGTTGTCATCATTGTGTGATTTCCATAAGCCAGAGACAATCACCAGTAACTCCCTGACAAGTAAACCTCATTAACTCCCTGACAAGTAAACCTCATTAACTCCCTGACAAGTAAACCTCATGGGTCTTTTGCACAAACCCAGTCTGAACAACATTAACATCATTTTTTATAATGTTTTCCCCAGACAATAAGTCGACTGAGCAAGTCAGTGCAGAGTCTGGAGAAGGAGAGAGGAGAGTACCAGAACCAGATCCAGATGCTCAGAAGTAAGTCTCTCCCAGAACATGATAGACAGTGTGCCAGAAGTAAGTCTCCCCCAGAACATGATTGACAGGGTGTCAGAAGTAATTCTCTCCCAGAACATGATAGACAGTGTGCCAGAAGTAAGTCTCTCCCAGGACATGATAGACAGGATGTCAGAAGTAAGTCTCTCCCACAACATGATAGACAGGATGTCAGAAGTAAGTCTCTCCCAGAACATGATAGACAGGATGTCAGAAGTAAGTCTCTCCCACAACATGATAGACAGGATGTCAGAAGTAAGTCTCTCCCAGAACATGATTGACAGGGTGTCAGAAGTAAGTCTCTCCCACAACATGATAGACAGGGTGTCAGAAGTAAGTCTCTCCCAGAACATGATAGACAGGGTGTCAGAAGTAAGTCTCTCCCAGAACATGATAGACAGGGTGTCAGAAGTAATTCTCTCCCACAACATGATAGACAGGGTGTCAGAAGTAAGTCTCTCCCAGGACATGATAGACAGGATGTCAGAAGTAAGTCTCTCCCACAACATGATAGACAGGATGTCAGAAGTAAGTCTCTCCCACAACATGATAGACAGGGTGTCAGAAGTAAGTCTCTCCCAGAACATGATAGACAGGATGTCAGAAGTAAGTCTCTCCCAGAACATGATAGACAGGGTGTCAGAAGTAAGTCTCTCCCACAACATGATAGACAGGGTGTCAGAAGTAAGTCTCTCCCAGAACATGATTGACAGGGTGTCAGAAGTAAGTCTCTCCCACAACATGATAGACAGGGTGTCAGAAGTAAGTCTCTCCCAGAACATGATAGACAGGATGTCAGAAGTAAGTCTCTCCCAGAACATGATAGACAGGATGTCAGAAGTAAGTCTCTCCCACAACATGATAGACAGGGTGTCAGAAGTAAGTCTCTCCCAGAACATGATAGACAGGATGTCAGAAGTAAGTCTCTCCCAGAACATGATAGACAGGGTGTCAGAAGTAAGTCTCTCCCAGAACATGATAGACGGGATGTCAGAAGTAAGTCTCTCCCAGAACATGGTAGACAGGATGTCAGAAGTAAGTCTCTCCCAGAACATGATAGACAGGGTGTCAGAAGTAAGTCTCTCCCAGAACATGATAGACGGGATGTCAGAAGTAAGTCTCTCCCAGAACATGATAGACAGGGTGTCAGAAGTAAGTCTCTCCCAGAACATGATAGACAGGGTGTCAGAAGTAAGTCTCTCCCAGAACATGATTGACAGGGTGTCAGAAGTAAGTCTCTCCCACAACATGATAGACAGGGTGTCAGAAGTAAGTCTCTCCCAGAACATGATAGACAGGGTGTCAGAAGTAAGTCTCTCCCAGAACATGATAGACAGGGTGTCAGAAGTAAGTCTCTCCCAGAACATGATAGACAGGGTGTCAGAAGTAAGTCTCTCCCAGAACATGATAGACAGGATGTCAGAAGTAAGTCTCTCCCAGAACATGATAGACGGGATGTCAGAAGTAAGTCTCTCCCAGAACATGATAGACAGGATGTCAGAAGTAAGTCTCTCCCAGAACATGATAGACAGGGTGTCAGAAGTAAGTCTCTCCCAGAACATGATAGACGGGATGTCAGAAGTAAGTCTCTCCCAGAACATGATAGACAGGGTGTCAGAAGTAAGTCTCTCCCAGAACATGATAGACAGGGTGTCAGAAGTAAGTCTCTCCCAGAACATGATAGACAGGATGTCAGAAGTAAGTCTCTCCCAGAACATGATAGACAGGATGTCAGAAGTAAGTCTCTCCCACAACATGATAGACAGGGTGTCAGAAATGTGTTGCAGGTGTGTTACCGGGGTGTTGTATGTTGTGTGTTACAGGGGTGTTGTGTGTTACAGGGGTGTTGTATGTTGTGTGTTACAGGTAGCTGTGTGTTACAGGGGTGTTGTGTGTCGTGTGTTACAGGGGTGTTGTATGTTGTGTGTTACAGGGGTGTTGTGTGTTACAGGGGTGTTGTATGTAGTGTGCAACAAGGGTGTTGTGTGTTACAGGTGTGTTGTGTGTTACAGGTGTTTTGTCTATTGTAGATGTGTTACAGGTGTGTTGTGTGTTACAGGTGTGTTGTCTATTGCGGGTGTGTTACAGGTGTGTTGTGTGTTACAGGTGTGTTGTCTATTGTAGGTGTGTTACAGGTGTGTTGTGTGTTACAGGTGTGTTGTCTATTGTAGGTGTGTTACAGGTGTGTTGTGTGTTACAGGTGTGTTGTCTATTGTAGGTGTGTTACAGGTGTGTTGTGTGTTACAGGTGTGTTGTCTATTGCAGGTGTGTTACAGGTGTGTTGTGTTTTGCAGGTGAGCTGAGTGAACTAAGCAGCCACGTATTGGGGAGGGGCAGTGGCAACCCTCACCTTGAATGGCAGATGGACCAGATCAAGCGAGACCTCAAACGGGAAGTCAAGGATGTTAGAGATCAACTTCAGCTTTTTAGGACTCGGGTAGACCATCACTCTACATCTGATCACACGTCCTTCACAGCATCCAGAGATTTAGAAGAAGTGTGAGGGAAACTGTCATTTATTAACTGAACCGATCAGTCAAAGGGTGTCTTTATAGTACTTTCTAGTAACTTTTTAGTGAACCTTCTAGTTCAAGTTTCTTTTGTTCCAAGTAATTGGTTGTTATTGACAACTGATGATCAGTTCCTATCTTCATGAAATCTGTTATCTTTTATTTTCTAATAATATTTTATATTTGCTAATATTAGCTCTTTGAAAATGAGTGTGTGATGGGATAAAATCCCACAAAAGTTGGATAAACAACAAAGTTTCAAGTTCTGCTTCTGTTCCTAGATGTGTTTGTGTTGTAAAGTATGATGCTAATTTTCAGTTTTGATATTAAATATATTGGTATTTATATAAGGAAACTGAGAAAGTATTAATCAGTCATTGTTTGAGATTTCAAAATCCATCTTGAATGTTTCCCAATTCACTAGACTTTAGTAGTAACAGAGACAGAGGTCCACATATTTTCAGTTTCAAGCAATGTTTAAGATTCAGCAAGGATGTATATATCATTTAAAGAAGTAGAGTTTTTGTCCAGTCGGCAAGACATTCAGGAGGAGCTGCGATACATCAGAAAAGATCTCGATGTCCTCAGGAGAAGAGTGGGTATGTTGGAATTATTGACGTGTGTGGACACAATTGTTACGATCTAATCCTGTTTGACTGAAGACATTGGACTTATGAATTTCAACTTCTTTATTCTTTCAATGCAACATTTCAGTTTGCTTGATGTTGTCAGTGAACTACAAGCGTGGGGTAGAGAACTGAATGTGAATCTCAACTCAAGTGATATGCATCAGAAACTGAGATGAAAATTAAATTTGTAAGTAATTGTTTGGGATTTTTGTGATGCAGGGTCTGTAGAAATGGATGTGATGGGAGCTCACTATGACAAGAGAGATCTGGAGAGGTCACAGGACAGGATGAACAAGGTTAGAGAGGCAGTGGATGTGTTGGTAATTTTCACTTTCACTTCTGAGAAAACACAAAGCCAATGATGTGGACTGTGTCAACACCTACTGTTTATACATCAACATTCATGTAATACATGCTAGTTTATCTTTCCAACAGTCCTTGCATGAAATCACAAATGGTCGGACAAGGAATCTGACTGAGATCTTGAAGACGTGTCCTGATGCTGACCGGAGTCTTGGACACACGCAGCTGGAACATCTCAGGTATTTAATGTTTATTGACCAGGGGAATGGTCTATCACTAGTAGTAGTGTAGCAGGCCCGCGGGAGACACCCCACACTGGTACAAGGTGTGAAGTTATTTCCTGGTATCCCTGTCATGATATGGCTGGACTGTTCACTCTCTCGCTCGTTCACTCGCTCGTTCACTCACTCACTCACTCAACCACTCTCCTACTCACTTACTCACTCATTCAACTGCTCTACCAATCACTCACTCACTCAACCTCTCAACCACTCATTCAACCACTCACTCAACCACTCAACCAACCACACACTCAACCACTCAACCAACCACTCAACCGCTCTACAAATCGCTCACTCACTCAACCTCTCAATCAATCACTCAACCACTCACTCAACCACACACTCAACCACTCACTCTACCAACCGCTCTACCAACCACTCACTTACTCAACCACTCACTCACCCACTCACTTACTCAACCACTCACTTACTCAACCACTCACTTACTCAACCACTCACTTACCCACTCACTCAACCACTCACTTACCCACTCACTCAACCACTCTACCAACCACTCACTTACTCAACCACTCACTCACCCACTCACTTACTCAACCACTCACTTACTCAACCACTCACTCACTCAACCACTCACTCAACCACTCACTCAACCACTCACTCAACCGCTCTACCAACCACTCACTTACTCAACCACTCACTCACCCACTCACTTACTCAACCACTCACTTACTCAACCACTCACTTACTCAACCACTCACTTACCCACTCACTCAACCACTCACTTACCCACTCACTCAACCACTCTACCAACCACTCACTTACTCAACCATACTGCTTCACCCTGTAAGGTCACAGGTAATGGATGTAGGATATGTAACTAGCTCATGCTTGTCGTCAGACCTGTGTAAACTGACAATTGTGTCACTACAATGTGTTATTGTGTTATTGTGTGTCAGCCCTACCTATGGGCTGGATAGTTGCTCCCAATGTCAACCACAGCTGATGTACCAGCAGACCGCAGCATCAATAAACATTCCCTGACTCACTTCACAGCCATTGATTGCTGATGTCAGCCTCCGTATCTACCCCGCCTGTCTGATACCTGTTGCACATTTCCCATACAGGAGCACAGTACGGACACTAAAGGACAAACTGAACACTGTGGATGCCCGTCTAAATGTTACATCAGCATCTCCTCACAACAGCAACACTAACAGTGAGTCTCCAGTGTGGTTTCTGGGTGTGAATTGGGGGAGAACCTATACATCGGTGTGACCCGTGAAGATCCGGGGTAGAATAGGTCTTCAGCAACACATGCTTGCCGTAAAAGGCGACTAACGGGATCGGGTGGTCAGGCTCGCCCCAATTGCATGGATCGATGCTCATGATATCAATCACTGGATTGTCTGTTCCAGACTCGATTATTTACAGACTGCCGTCATATAGCTGGAATATTGCTGAGTGCGGCGTTAAACAACCAACCAACCAACCAACCAACCAACTATACATCGGTGCACTGGTGCATCGTGAGTTTCATGTGACGATATGATACACGATACGTTTCTTTTCTGTACAGATACCAGATGATTCACTTGCTAAAATAAATTACTTACTACTCGTTTAATGACCTCAGCATTTTTGTTAGTCAGATATTGCTAAATGTGTTGTGATTAGCGTTTCAAGTTCACTACTAAAACCGAACATGTGTCTACAGCTAGCTTTTCCTTTTGAACCTGCTCTGAAATATTTATTGTCAATAGGTTTCCATGCGATTTGACGTAAAAATGAGTATCGCAATATGTATCATATTGTGACCTATATATCATAATACGCATCGTATCGTGACCTTTGCTGGATCGTTTCACCCCTAGTTAGAATAGGCCCTGAGCAGCCTACACTTGTCACAAGAGGCGACCACATGGCTTGGTTGAGAGTCAGCGTACCCCAGAACTACACTTGTCACAAGAGGCGACCTATTGGCTTGGTTGAGAGTCAGCGTACCCCAGAACTACACTTGTCACAAGAGGCGACCTATTGGCTTGGTTGAGAGTCAGCGTACCCCAGAACTACACTTGTCACAAGAGGCGACCTATTGGCTTGGTTGAGAGTCAGCGTACCCCAGAACTACACTTGTCACAAGAGGTGACCTATTGGCTTGGTTGAGAGTCAGCGTACCCCAGAACTACACTTGTCTCAAGAGGCGACCTATTGGCTTGGTTGAGAGTCAGCGTACCCCAGAACTACACTTGTCACAAGAGGCGACCACATGGCTTTGGTTGAGAGTCAGCGTACCCCAGAACTACACTTGTCACAAGAGGCGACCACATGGCTTGGTTGAGAGTCAGCGTACCCCAGAACTACACTTGTCACAAAAGGCGACCACATGGCTTTAGTTGAGAGTCAGCGTACCCCAGCACTACACTTGTCACAAGAGGCGACCTATTGGCTTGGTTGAGAGTCAGGGTACCCCAGAACTACACTTGTCACAAGAGGCGACCTATTGGCTTGGTTGAGAGTCAGGGTACCCCAGAACTACACTTGTCACAAGAGGCGACCTATTGGCTTGGTTGAGAGTCAGCGTACCCCAGAACTACACTTGTCACAAGAGGCGACCACATGGCTTTGGTTGAGAGTCAGCGTACCCCAGAACTACACTTGTCACAAGAGGCGACCTATTGGCTTGGTTGAGAGTCAGCGTACCCCAGAACTACACTTGTCACAAGAGGCGACCTATTGGCTTGGTTGAGAGTCAGCGTACCCCAGAACTACACTTGTCACAAGAGGCGACCTATTGGCTTGGTTGAGAGTCAGCGTACCCCAGAACTACACTTGTCACAAGAGGCGACCACATGGCTTTGGTTGAGAGTCAGCGTACCCCAGAACTACACTTGTCACAAGAGGCGACCACATGGCTTGGTTGAGAGTCAGCGTACCCCAGCACGACACTTGTCACAAGAGGCGACCACATGGCTTGGTTGAGAGTCAGCGAACCCCAGCACTACACTTGTCACAAGAGGCGACCACATGGCTTGGTTGAGAGTCAGCGTACCCCAGAACTACACTTGTCAAAAGAGGCGACCACATGGCTTGGTTGAGAGTCAGCGTACCCCAGCACTACACTTGTCACAAGAGGCGACCACATGGCTTGGTTGAGAGTCAGCGTACCCCAGAACTACACTTGTCACAAGAGGCGACCACATGGCTTGGTTGAGAGTCAGCGTACCCCAGAACTACACTTGTCACAAGAGGCGACCTATTGGCTTGGTTGAGAGTCAGCGTACCCCAGAACTACACTTGTCACAAGAGGCGACCTATTGGCTTGGTTGAGAGTCAGCGTACCCCAGCACTACACTTGTCACAAGAGGCGACCACATGGCTTGGTTGAGAGTCAGCGTACCCCAGCACTACACTTGTCACAAGAGGCGACCACATGGCTTGGTTGCGAGTCAGCGTACCCCAGCACTACACTTGTCACAAGAGATGACCACATGGCTTGGTTGCGAGTCAGCGTACCCCAGAACTACACTTGTCACAAGAGGCGACCACATGGCTTGGTTGAGAGTCAGCGTTTCTCACAATATCAATCACTGGATTGTCTGATCCTGATTTGATTGTTTCCAGGCCTCTATCTAATAGGAGGAATATTGCTGGGTGTGGTATTAAACAAGTTACAGCCACGTATACATGGAAAGGCTTGGGTTCGTTTCTATCCCAGAGGAGAGGCCGGGGTATTGTTCCACACTGCCCTCCAAGTGCCAAGACTAACGTATGTCTGTGTTGTAGTATGGACTTACCTTGAGGATAGGTCCCAGAATGCATGCTCCTTTCTTACGTTCTATTCATGTTATTAGGACAAGTAAGGTTGTATCGTGTACCTGACTAGAGCTGCATCATTGAGACAATTGTAAAAGTAATTGGATAATGTTATCAAAAGGTAAATGTCATTTATAGGGGTGAAACCATACAGCAAGGTCGCGATACAATACGTATCACGATACATAGGTCACGATACAATACATATCATGATGCATAGGTCATGATACAATACGTATCATGATACATAGATCATACAGTACGTATCATGATACATAGGTCATGATACAATACATATCATGATGCATAGGTCATGATAAAATACGTATCATGATACATAGATCATACAGTACGTATCATGATACATAGGTCATGATACAATACGGATCATGATACAGTACGGATCACGATACACATTACATCATATCGCATGGAAACTTCTTACTATAAATTACTTCAGAGCAGGTTCAAAAGGAAAAGCTAGCTGTAGACACACATTCGTAGTGGCTATTTTTAGTAGAGAACTTGAAACGCTAATTACAACACATTGTGAGATATTTGACCGACAAAGATTCTGAGGTCATTAAACGAGCAGTAAGTACTTTATTTTAGCAAGTGTATCATCTTGTATCGATACAGAAACAAATGTATCATGTATCGTATCATCGCAGGAAAACTTACGATACACTGGTGCACTGATTATTGTTTCACACTGAGTCATTTATTGGCGTTATGTGGACTGCTGTGATAGCTCAAGAAGTTGTGGATGAAAATAAGGATGTGTACATATTTAATGAAAGAGAAGAGGAGTGTAAATGGTAAATGTCTGACTATTGAATCTACTAAGACAATTAAGAATTGACCTTCACTTTGTGTGAGTTCATTGGAGTATGAACCTTCATAGAGTGAGGGACAAACTGTATGAACGTCGGAGCTTGCGACATTGAAAGGTGATTAAAGATGCGTCAAACAGACACCAAGGTAAATTCATAGATTGCTGGAGACGGTCACTGTCAGCCTAGACACAGATCGAGTCGATACTGACGATTGTTTGGATGTGCATTTTTTCGTTTGTTCATTAGGATGGGCCGTAGCGAAAAATTTGTGAACAATAATGCAAGTCAAGCTCTCTTCTCTTCAAGTTTCTCAATGTATACAGAAATGCTGAGACCAAGATTAAAGGTTCTAAATGATCAGAAATAATGTTTATGTATGTTTTCGTGCTAGGGAATTCCCAGGGGTTTCCCCAGGAATGTGGAAGTAGTCCGTCAGTGTTTACGTCATTTCAAGAATACAGTCTCATGAAAAATGTATGAACGTGATATTGTGTCGTTCATACACTTATGAACGTCAATTTCGCGGTCATGTGACTGACCTCTTGTCCAATGGAAAAGCCGTATATTGTGTAAACGTCAAATTAAAAAATTATTGCATGATATTCATCAGTGTTGGTAGAATAGTTTGTAAATCTTGTGTTTCCTGCATTGTTCCCATTGTGTTTCAGGCTACAAGTCACGAACAACTAAATCCTACCGAACATCCCGTCGCGCAGATGTAGACATAGACTCAGAGATTGACGATGATGACCTTGACCTTGATGACCTCTCTGACCTTGAGGACTCAGACACAGAACCTTTGTCCTCCAACAACAAATACACCTCAGCTAGGAAAGGTGAGTCACAGACACATATCCTCTAAATAAGTGCAAGTTATCACAGAACTATGTCATCTAACAACAGTATTCCTCAGGTCATTTCAGTCTTCTACTCGCTTGTTGGTAGATGGGGTAGCCTAGTGGTTAAAGCGTTCGCTCGTCACGCCGAAGACCCAGGTTCGATTCCCCACTTGGGTACTATGTGTGAGGCCCATTTCTGGTGTCCCCCGCCGTGATATTGCTGGAATATTGCTAAAAGCGGCGTAAAACCATACTCACTCACTCGCTTGTAATATTGCTGTGTTAACAGCCCGCAAGACAAGGGGGAGACCTGACCCAGAGCTGAGTGACAGCGATGATGATGTAGATGTCAATGAAGCTTCAATAGATAGTGGGGACTTGGAGGACGATGACCTTGATGACATCCAGGACCTACATATAGATGACGATGATGACATTGATGACATATAGAAACTGCAATCTTCAGCAGACCCTCGCAATACGTGGCTCAAGTCCTGTCATACCACAGGGTACGAAACTATTACCTACAGGAATGTTAATGTCAATACCGGAGTTCATGGGAGAGTATTCCTGTGAGTAATGAGCTAAGCTAATCACTATCATATCTGGTGCTGAGCCTCTGCATATCCACTAAAGTTATAAAACTGTATTTTTTTATTAAAACCCATTCAACTGTTTCTGTTGATTAGTGGGCTGCAAGGACTCTGCATTCACTAAATTATGTCCCTTGGGTGTCTACATTCAAGTAGCCACATGATAAACTTCCCGTCTATCAATGTCAGCACCGGTGGTTGTATATTTCTCGGTTTCAACTGCTGGTATGAGAATATGCGTAAATATCCATTCCACCAAGTTGTGTACATGTTTTGTTACAGCTGAGTCAAATCAAACATCACATTGGATTCAGTTGTGAGTTCACTTTCACCTATTGACAGACCACTATACTGGATGCTGTGTGTCTATGCATAGTGCCCTGTGAACTATACCAAAGATATTTACTTTTTATTTTCTAGTATATAGACTACATATATATCTCAAACCAGTATAAAGTTATCCACTGTTCCTTGTCAAAAGATTGTCCAATTTGTATGTATTGTTCCATTAATTTGTGCATGCCTTTATAAGAAAGCCTTATTTTTGCCTCACATATTTTATTATTTACAGTGATTGTGCTCAATATGCTGCTCATACATGGTGTATGATTGTGAGAAATATTACCTGGTGTGTGAGTGTATCATATGTGTTGAGCAAATGAAGTGTCCCATGATAGCAATATATATATTTATGCCATTTCCCACTTACCTGTAATGGAGTAGATGAACACTGGTGTAAGATGAAGCTCAACAGATACATGCAAGTACTTCACTGGAGACGTGTGGTCCAGCACCAGTGATAGCATCACCCAGGGGTCGATTTAACTGCTGGCCCATTGGCCAATGGCCAGTTAAAATATGAAAGGCTTGCTGCAACGAAATGTACATGGCCCGGCTGGCAACTCAAAATTCACCCCTTCTCTGTGTGTGGTCAATTTTTTTTGAGAGAGAGAGAGAATCTGCTTTGGACAAACACTGCCTTGAAAGCATCCTCCGCTTTCCATGTGACCATCATGTTGGTGTTGCAACAGGTATTGGAGGAAAGTATTGGGATTATTGTATTTTACCACTCAGTCAAACTGTTCACACGCTAAAGCCCAAATGTTTGTGACAAGATACAGTAGACCCTGTCTGCGTCATGTGTGTGTGGATGTGAATGTTTTCATGGTATTCTGTTGCCAGTTGCCCTCCCTCCACTTACAACCCTCACCCTGGTTCATGTATATCGGACATACATTTCTTGGTTTTGTCAAAGAGATAATGATTAGTAATTCTTTAATTGTGACATATTTGATATTTACATACATACAAGTTTTGAGTTCCATACAAAAGATCCAAGATATCTGGAATATTATTCATGTTGTTTTCATTTGTTTGATTAATAGATCACCCGGCAATCTCCCCAGCATTTTATCAAGACTGCATCACATATTTTGTTTTTAATATTTTTATCAATATCTTAAGACAGTAACTTTGATATTGACATGGCTGACAGGTCACCTTAACAGTGAGTGAGTGAGTATGGTTTTACGCAGCTTTTAGCAATATTCCAGCAATATCACGGTGGGGGGACACCAGAAATGGGCTTCGCACACTGTACCCATGTCGGGAATCGAACCCAGGTCTTCGGCATAGGTCACCTTAACAACCCCATTGAGAAGTTTACTGTGGGTGATAAACAGCTAGCTGTGTGGATATAAATATACTACTCAAAAGAAGTTAAGAACTTAACTATAGTAATATGAACAAATCAGGTAGTCCTTAACTTCATTTGAGTAGTATACAAAAGAAAAACATTTGATATTCAGTTTTGATATATCATTACTGGAGAAATATTACATAGGTAAAAGTCTGCAACACATTACCTGAAGATTCCAGTACTTCCTGTAGACGGGCACATGTTGCTGTGGTTATCAGTATTAGAGGTTCTCCCCCCACCCCCCAGCACTGGCAGCTGGTGCAGCAATATAACACTACTCAATGTCAGAGTATATATATATGTGTGTGTATTTAATGTTATTCAAAGTCATGTAATTGATGATAATAAAGTTAAACCATACTCTTTTTTTGGCAACCTTTTGTTTTTATTATTTCATTGTACCAGGTTAATTTATTAGAAAACTCCTTGGGATTCAGGTATGAATGAAGGTCGTAAGGGGCGACTAAATGAAGTTCATGTTGATATATTTGATATCAAAAGACACGAGGGTGAGATTTTATTTATCATCCAACATCATTCTTCCTTCTTTCTCAGTTTGTAGACAGTAATAAGCAGTGTCTTCATGTACAAAGTACAGCTAATACCTTCAGTAGCAGAGCCATTAGTGATGTCATTTGATTGTGACGTCATGGTAACCAAGGATGTAACAATGGTCTGCAAAGCATCGTGATGCAATTTCATTGCAGCAATATCTACAATGTAGATATCACTTGATCTCACCCAAGCCATACCTCCTGAGGGAGCCAGTTTTGGATGATAAATGGTTATAGCGTCTGAATGATTCAAACATTACACAATGACTTCTCTGTTTTTCAAACCAGCAAGGGAGTGTGTTGTCACAAGAAAGTTCTGTTGCTCTGTGTTTGTTTGTTTGTTGTTTTGCGCAATATTCCAGCTATATGATGGCGGTCTGTAAATAATGTTGCACTGTGAAACTATTAAGGTGCTGGTCATATCTCTTTCTGAATACAGGACACTCAACACTTGACCAACGCATGCAGGTCATGCCTTGTGTTCAGGTCACCAGTTTCTGTTAACGGTCAAGTGTACATAGTTATTCGAATTATAAAGCGCAAAAATCTGTTTATAAGTTGGATAAAATACTTTCCCCACGGGGTTAATATTGTTAAAACTCTCATCCTCCGAATACAACATTGGAGCAGACACACCTTGGTTTTCTCCCTTGAATGCAGGTTTGAAATCTCCTAAACCCCTTGGATATGCTTGAACCTTCATTTAAAACACAAACACACGCCATATACATAACATTTTTATTCCTCTGCCTGCCCCTGGCCCGGCCATGGCTGGTGGTGACAGCTCGTCAACAAGATATAGGTAACAAATTACACCTTCCTCCTGTCAACATCAATTTCATATAGAAAACAAGACAGTAGTCACCTGAAATGAACGACTGGCCAGAAAAATTGACAAACTGTGAAAACGACCTACGCTTAAACCAGCCTTCAACACAGCGACAAAACAAGGTTTCACTCGGATCTTAATGTCAGCAGATCCTGGCAGCTAAGGGATGCAACTCCGCACAGCAGTATCAACATCTGCCACCTTAATAACAGCAGGAGCTGTGGTCAGTGATTCCTATCAAGTTAAAAACATTTCACAACACAGAAATAAATATTTTTATCTGAGTACTATATAGCATCTCAGCCATGCACAGCTTGAGACAAAGTGCCTGCAAACAAATGCTAAATGACTCATTAATTATCTTTTAAAAACTCATATTTTCATTTGTGCTTAAACGATTCGTCCACTTTTATCAATATCTCTGTCAGCTGAGAAATATTAGTGCCCCCAAAAGTACAAAGCAAGACAAGGACTGTTCAGCTTGTGCCAGTCTAAAGGCAAATTGAATAGAAGTGTTAATACAGCGCATGGTGATTCCACCTATGGATGACTGAAGACAAGGAGATGTACAATGTTAACACTGGTAATTGTGTACAAATTATGGGAGGAAGCCAGTAACAGTTATTGCTCGGAGAGATGGACAACTGGAATCAAATAACAGGGATCATACAACTGTGTAACAGTGTCAGTTGCAAACTGTAACCATGGTAACAACCCATGTGAACATTATGTGATGAGTGACAGGTGACATGCAATTGTGCTCAACATCTGGTTTAAGCCATTAATGATGCTGCATCGATAGGGATCATAACATCTGGTTTACGCCATCAGTGATGCTGCATCGATAGGGATCATAACATCTGGTTTAAGCCATCAATGATGCTGCATCGATAGGGATCATAACATCTGGTTTACGCCATCAATGATGCTGCATCAATAGGAATCACAACATCTGGTTTACGCCATCAATGACGCTGCATCGATAGGGATCACAACATCTGGTTTAAGCCATCAATGATGCTGCATCGATAGGGATCATAACATCTGGTTTAAGCCATCAATGATGCTGCATCGATAGGGATCACAACATCTGGTTTACGCCATCAATGATGCTGCATCGATAGGGATCATAACATCTGGTTTACGCCAATGATGCTGCATCGATAGGGATCACAACATCTGGTTTAAGCCATCAATGATGCTGCATCGATAGGGATCATAACATCTTGTTTACGCCATCAATGATGCTGCATTGATAGGGATCACAACATCTGGTTTATGCCATCAATGATGCTGCATCGATAGGGATCATAACATCTGGTTTACGCCATCAATGATGCTGTTTCGATAGGGATCATAACATCTGGTTTAAGCCATCAGTGATGCTGCATCGATAGGGATCATAACATCTGGTTTACGCCATCAATGATGCTGTTTCGATAGGGATCATAACATCTGGTTTAAGCCATCAGTGATGCTGTTTCGATAGGGATCATAACATCTGGTTTAAGCCATCAGTGATGCTGTTTCGATAGGGATCATAACATCTGGTTTAAGCCATCAGTGATGCTGTTTCGATAGGGATCATAACATCTGGTTTACGCCATCAATGATGCTGCATCGATAGGGATCACAACATCTGGTTTAAGCCATGAATGATGCTGCATCGATAGGGATCACAACATCTGGTTTAAGCCATCAGTGATGCTGTTTCGATAGGGATCACAACATCTGGTTTACACCATCAATGATGCTGCATGGATAGGGATCATAACATCTGGTTTACGCCATCAGTGATGCTGTTTCGATAGGGATCATAACATCTGGTTTAAGCCATCATTTATGCTGCATCGATAGGGATCATCATGATCATTAGCCTCTGCACCTTCCTACTCTTTAACTCACATCATCTAGCTGTCGATGTGTATGTAGAATCTCCACTAAATGCTGTACTTAAAGGGATACTCGACTCCATGATCTCTTGCCCATTTTCAGCACAGGTCCAATCTCATTAAATCAGATCTTAGTTCTCGCTACCGCTAAACAAAGATCTGAGGACATCCCATTAGGGGTCTCGTCAGAACTACCTTTCAGACCAATCAGAGCAACGCTTACCAGATCATGAAAGTGACAGTCGGAATGTGATTTCTAATCATGCAACCTCGAAAACCTTAACACGGCCGAGGTATTCCGAACGATAGTTACGGGCTTAGCAACTGAATCCATACAATGTAGTCCATCAATTAGCCATGCCAGAATATTCAAATTTTTAATCGAGAATTTGTCAAAATGTTTCGAAGCGTAGTCGCCAATTTGAAATTAGTGACGTAAAGCACGAGAAAGCTGCCTTCTGATTGGCTAATGTCAACTTCTTGTCACTCATTCCATTGGTCGGACAAAGTTTGCGAAAGGTCGGTCTGACATGACCCGTAATGGGGTGTTCTCAGATCTTTGTTTAGCAGGAGCGAGAACTAAGATCTGATTTTAAATTGATTAAGCACAGGTCGAACATTACTTCCTTGTTAAAAGCTGACACTGTCTCAGTATAATCAGGCTAATCACTGACTTGTAATTGACATCCACAAAGTAGTGTGTGAATCACTTGAATGAAACTAGCTGGGACTGCTTATTTGCCCAAACCAAGTCCCCCTTTAAACATGGGAAGTTTCTCAATCAGCATCACAATTATGTCATTTTTCTAGCATCAGAATCAATATTTCATCATATGTTCTCTTCAGGAATAAAAATGTCCGCAAAACTCAACAACACTTTACATTCTATAATCTATTATTGAAAACAATCATAATACTTATTTGTGAAATATTCCACTTAACTGGTTACAAAAGATAACAAGTGACTTCATAGTTCATCCAATAGCATCTTTGGAGACAGCTGTACAACAACAACATCAGCTCGGTAGCTTTGAGACACTGATTACATTTCACCACGAGGCATTGTCCGCCATATATGTCAACAAAGAATGTGCCTCACTAACTCCTCACTCAAATATTCTCCTCGCCATAATTACCCAAACATGTGAAACTTGTGTAATACGACGTGGGAGCCATGTGACACACTGCCGGTGTAGTCCGAGGGAAGCAGGCTAGCCAGTCAAAGGACTGTAACAGGGGGATAACAGTCGTTACATCACTGATGAGGAGTTATTCTGATATGTAACCATGGTAACAAGCATTATTATTCGATGAGAAAGAATGTGATCATGACATACCACTGAAATAACAACAAGAAAGATGTCTGATTTCTCATTTTGAACATCCAATCAGTATCATAGTAACATAGATGTGTTTATGAGAAGCTAAATATCATGACAGGTAATAATTGTTGTTTAAATACAAGCAAATGAATCCACGGATAAAGCATTTCTGTTTATTAATTTAAAGATATCGTCCAATTTAACCTACTCTTTGTTTCAGGAACAAGGATGTATGAGTGTTAAGGGATAACATGACAACCTGACTGTGAACAACAATACCACCATCTTACTTGACATTGACTTATATTTCCGAATATCACATATCTGGTACAGCCCTTCATGAGAATTTACACTGAAACTACAATAAACCACTCCAACTTGTACCAAACACCACAACATATGGGACCACAATATGGCAAATCTAATAGTACCATACCCTGATAGTACCGTAACTTTGTGCTCGTAATAGAAATATTTCCCATGAAGATGTGTACTATCATCACTGATAGTACCGTAACTTTGTGCTCGTAATAGAAATATTTCCCATGAAGATGTGTACTATCATCATTTCAGGGTTCTTCCTAGTTCCATCATGAAATCGTCAATGTGAAGAAACTCTGGATTTTCTCAAATTGAGAAACTTAAATTATTTTCAATATATGCACAGAAAACACACTCTACAAAACTTTGATCAACTTTCATTAACCTGACAAGTTGTGTGTAACCATGGTAACTGAAATAGATAATTAATAATATCTAACATGTAACAAGAAAACAACCACGAAAAGCAGTGAAAGAAAGTCCAAGTCTTCACAGCACTAAAGAAATGTCGGCGTTGGTCAAACAGTCTAATACAGTTGTCTCCCTTTCTGCAAGACTGGGCACCAGTGTACATCTCAGAGTTATGTTCAGTAATAAAATAGTGACAGCTCCACATATCTTACAGTTGAAAATCTTACAGCCAGGAAACAATAAATAGAGTACTGCGTATAACTATGTCAAGTTCATGTACAGGGTTGATTATGTCAGTTGGAATACAAACTACAGAAGTCCATAAATCACATCAGTGTCACGTGTCAGTTTAACTACACATTGTAGTGGCTTGTTTCCATCACCAGGACGCAGGTCACACAGCAGCAGTATCTTCCACAGACAGGAATCGATGTAGTGCCGTCCACGACGCATCTCAGCCATCTTGAATGACTGCCATCTTCAAAACTCTTCCAGGTCATAATACCTGTCGACAATTTCTAATACAACTTGGCACTGATTTGTAACCCATGTAGAAGCAGCTACATGAAAGTTTTTCCACTCCCAGTGACATGTCGTCCAGGCATGCTGGTGCAATCCCCAACCACACCATGACAACCTGCTGACAATGAGGAGATTTATACCGATACACCCAAAATACAAATACCAACTTTTACAACAACTTTCTGTGTCTGGCACATTTGCCCCTGTAGAATTTCTAACAATTGGTCAGCATGTTCATGTCAATTCAAATCCCTGAACACCTCACTTTGTTGATTGCACTGAAATTCCTCGCCTAACCTAGCAGAGCCCATCCCGGAGGAGGTCCTGTCTGGCCATGAATCAGGGTGGAGGCACGGTCTACACACTTTTCACGTGTTCTTGCAGCAGGCTGAGGATTGTTTTTGATATACCAACTACATTGAGATCCGTGCTGGCGACCACCAGCTGGTGAATCTTCTCCACGCCTCCTTCTTCCTTCAACAGGGGGCAGTACCGCTTGCCTGAAAACACATTATATAAGTGCCACACGGTGAGTGAGTGAGTGAGTGAGTGATGCAGATTTGATGGAGCTACAATCGAGCCTGGAAATTCCAACCTAGTTTGGCAACAGTGAAAACTGGACTTTTATAGTCAGTTGATGAAATTGCCTCAGGAAGTTGAGAGCAAGATTTCAAAATTTGTTGCAGGAACCAACTGGCTCATCTTTCTTGGGTTACCATAAGGTTTGTCTCACACCTAATATGCATTTTAGTCAATTTATACTCATATATATGAATACAACATTGACAACAAGAACCACATAATTCTTGGTACAGACATGATTGATGGCCCATACACATAAAGCTGACTTACCATTCTTGGTACAGACATGGTTAATGGCCCATACACCCAAAGCTGACTTACCATTCTTGGTACAGACATGGTTGATGGCCCATACGGCCCAGAGCTGACTTACCATTCTTGGTACAGACATGATTGATGGCCCATACACCCAAAGCTGACTTACCATTCTTGGTACAAACATGGTTGATGGCCCATACACCCAAAGCTGACTTACCATTCTTGGTACAGACATGATTGATGGCCCATACACCCAAAGCTGACTTACCATTCTTGGTACAGACATGGTTAATGGCCCATACACCCAAAGCTGACTTACCATTCTTGGTACAGACATGGTTGATGGCCCATACGGCCCAGAGCTGCACTGAGGGGGCATCATGACAGTCCAGCAGTGGGAAGAAAGGGTTAAATGACCTAAAAGAAAAACAACATCGTCAAATACAAAAATCATAAAACTATTGAAGATGCATATCAACTTGATTTCATTACAACAACAAAAATTCTCACAGCCCCTGGATCTTGATTTTACCAGTATGACAGGTGGTACAAAGTAGCCCCCTAAGTTCATAACACAGACTAGTTTCTGTCAGTATTGCACTGCATCATCTTGTGACATGTAGAGACTGTTTAGCCTATGGCCTGTGTAGAATTTCCCTTACACACAGGAAGAGCAATGAATGCCATGGATTGAGGTTTGTTTTCACAACTATCAAATAGAACACAGACTAAAAATGCATTCTTTCTGCATCATGTTTATAAACAACGCCACTGTGGTGAAAAAGTCACTGACCTGTAGGCCACCATTTCACTCTGCGGCTGCTGCCATCTCCGAACAACTGCAGCCTGAAACACAAACACAACACTGGCTGAACAACGTAGTTTGTTTGCTGTTTAACGCCGCATTTGGCCATATTCCAACTGTAAGAAGGCGGTCTTTAATAATTTGTTCACAGCTGTTTCATTCAAATTATTGTGTAAAAGTATTGTTTCAAGTGTGACATTGACTAACCCTAATAATATTGTTTGTTTGTTTGTTTAACGCCGCACATAGCAATATTCCAGCTATATGACGGCAGTCTGTAAATAATTGAGTCTGGACCAGACAATCCAGTGACTGACATCATGAGCATCAACCAAGTCAGAGAGCCTGACCACCCAATCCCGACCGTCAGCTCTGATGGCAAGCATGAGTTGTTGAAGACCTATTCTCTACCCAGTTCTTCACAGGACTTGAACAATGTAACCTCTGGACACTCATAAACAGATAACCACTTAATCTAACAAATCAAACTCATTCCTTATCCATGCATGTATCTCTATAGTTTCATATACAGTAAACTTCGCTAATAACGAACACGCTTATAACGAACTGACGGATATAACATACTGTTTTTTTGGCCTGGCATTTGCTGTATATATGCTGTATAATGGTTATAACGAACTACAGTTATAACGAACTACGGTTATAGCAAACTACAGTTATAACGAACTACGGTTATAGCAAACTACAGTTATAACGAACTACGGTTATAGCAAACTACAGTTATAACGAACTATGGTTATAACGAACTACAGTTATAACAAACTACGGTTATAGCAAACTACAGTTATAACGAACTACGGTTATAGCAAACTACAGTTATAACGAACTACGGTTATAGCAAACTACAGTTATAACGAACTATGGTTATAACGAACTACAGTTATAACGAACTACGGTTATAGCAAACTACAGTTATAACGAACTAGGGTTATAGCAAACTACAGTTATAACGAACTACGGTTATAGCAAACTACAGTTATAACGAACTACGGTTATAACGAACTACGGTTATAACGAACTATGGTTATAACGAACTACAGTTATAACGAACTACGGTTATAGCAAACTACAGTTATAACGAACTACGGTTATAGCAAACTACAGTTATAACGATCTACGGTTATAGCAAACTACAGTTATAACGAACTACGGTTATAGCAAACTACAGTTATAACGAACTATGGTTATAGCAAACTACAGTTATAACGAACTTCGGTTATAGCAAACTACAGTTATAACGAACTACGGTTATAGCAAACTAGTTATAACAAACTATGGTTATAGCAAACTACAGTTATAACGAACTACGGTTATAACAAACTACAGTTATACAAACTACGGTTATAACAAACTACAGTTATACAAACTACGGTTATAACAAACTACAGTTATAACAAACTACGGTTATAACAAACTACAGTTATACAAACTACGGTTATGACAAACTAAAATAAGTGGTCCCTTTGAGTTCATTATGACTTACTACATACTGATTGAAAGAAGTAAGGGAACTAAGCACAATGCGGGAGCAGACAGTTAACTGCTACATTTAAGGAACTCTTAACATGCCACTCTTTTGAAATGTCCATCTTGTTCAATCTGAGGGTCAGACATACCAGGTCCTCCAGGATATCCTCCCGAGGGGTGCCGGCCAGCAGCCAGGACTCCTCCCCATCACTAGCCAGGTGAGCTACGATCCCCGCCGCAAAGTAACTCACATCAATAAACTCGGTGTGCAGCAACCGTCTGGAAGAACAAGAAACCACACAATTACTCATGGAAATATCACATATTCTACCATTGGTTCTTCGGAATACAAACTGCTAAGATCTGATAAATAAACATGATAAAGCAAACATAAAATAAAATCATAATAACCAATTGAAATTAGGCTCAGCAATGTGGCGAGAGTGGATGAGCTTGGTTGAGAAGAGCATGGTGTTGACACACCAACAATCTGGGATTCAAATGATCAGCAGATCCTAGCATGGCTAAGGGATGTAACTCTGCACAGCATTTCACCACCTTTGACCAATGGATGTCCCTGTTACTTTTATGCATTGTTGGCATTGTAGACAACAAACAGCTACTTACTTGACCAGCATGATGAAGTCCTCTCTCATCAGGGACTGTCGCAGGTTCTTCACCTCGGCAATGTTGTTCTGAAGCACAATAACACTCAGCTGATAACACTCACACTATGGTACACACTCTGTCCCCCTCCTTCAAGAGCACACCAGCGCCCCTCCTTTAAGAGAAGCAGGTGCCATGACCTTCCCCATCCTCAAAGAATACACAGAAGCTACCAGTGCCAAGACCTCCTCCTCCCTGACCCCAGTATCAATGATCACCCCCTCCCTATCCCCAGTGTGACAAGTCTCCCCTCCCCGACCCCAGTGTGACAAATCTCCCCTCCCTGACCCCAGTTTGACAAGTCACCCCTTCACTGACCCCAGTGTGACACATCTCCCCTCCCTGACCCCAGTGTGACAAGTCTCCCCTTCACTGACCCCAGTTTGACAAGTCTCCCCTTCACTGACCCCAGTTTGACAAGTCTCCCCTTCACTGACCCCGGTGTGACAAGTCTCCCCTTCACTGACCCCAGTTTGACAAGTCTCCCCTTCACTGACCCCAGTTTGACAAGTCTCCCCTTCACTGACCCTGGTGTGACAAATCTCCCCACTGACCCTGGTGTGACAAATCTCCCCACTGACCCTGGTGTGACAAATCTCCCCACTGACCCTGGTGTGACAAATCCCTCACTCACTGACCCCAGTGTGACACATCTCCCCACTGACCCTGGTGTGACAAATCTCTCCCTCCCTGACCCCAGTGTGACAAATCTCTCCCTCACTGACCCTTGTTTGACAAATCCCTTACTCACCAGTAGCCCGAGTATTTTGGTCTCCACTTGGACCCTGCTCTCGTTCTCCAGGTCAAGCGTGTCATTCAGCGTCTGAAGCAGCAGTAGCAGCATCACAGTCAGAGAGACAAATGTAATGTATCCATGATGGAGATTGTCAATTTGTCAAAACGACGAGAGACTTGAACGCCGTTTGGAACAGTATTTCAGTTCTATTACAGCATGTCAGCTTGATGTGAGAGGAATGTTCCAAATGAAGCGAGTTCAACTTTGGTGAAACCTATGGTGCTGACGAACCTAGACTCATATTCAGGTTGACACAGGACTGAAACCAAGGACCAAAGGATTCTATAATGCCTAAGAAGCAACACATGCGCAGAACTTTTAGACGACTGTGTCAAAAGAATTGACCATAATGCCTGGTACGACAGTGGAAACACTTTGAACAATCAATCAATCAATCACAAAAAGTACATGCATTATCTCAGCATTAGTCAATTTTAAGGCCACATTAAGAAGTTGTGCAGCAATATCATGAAGACATGAATGATGGGTTTCACAATGGGTCTCCATGAGGGGAATCAAACCGGGTTTTCTGTATGAGCAAACACTCAACCCACAAGGCTACCCCTCTGCTCCGGATAAAGTGGGAGATAAGTGCATCACCTGCAGCATCTTCATGAACAACTCCAGACCGCTCTCGTTGAGGAACACGTGACAGGTGGGTGCAGACTCATCTGGGAATATACACCATGTCACATGACATGTCTGACGACACAATATATTCTATATTAAATAAGCTGCATCCACAGACTACAAAACTTATCATATATCAAACAAACTGCTAATAAAATATTTGATAAAACTCAATCAATATAATATTTCAATCTTGATAAGAACTTTCATGTGGAGTAAGTGAGAAAATGGCTGCCTTTATGTGATTCAGCAACATACAATCCTGTGACTGACCTGTGAGGTTCCAAAGAGCGCTGAGAGTGAACTTGAGGGTGATGTCGATCTGCACCGACTCCATCCGTTGCTTCACCAGCGACAACAACTTTTTCATGTAGCGTGATTTGGCACCCAGGACAGATGTCTGCTCTGTTGATATCTGACAGTTGAAGAAACAACATCAGCCAATAGACAACTATGGATATGTGTTGTTGGGACCTGAGTTAGACAAGCTACAGTCAACTCTCATTATATCGTTCCATGAATACGCTCAATCTCTGAACCTGAATGGGGTTATTCTTCAATATTGACAGTGATCTCGCCTAGGTGAACACATCTTCCCGAGGCAAGGGAGTTAACTGACTACAAAAGTCCAGTTTCCACTCTTGCCGAACTAGGCAGGAATTACGGAGTTATATTTTGGCTGGACTAATGAGTCTATGCATACATCGGCTCATCGTCTATAACGCCCACCAATTATTTGGACCCCATTGGTAGCGTTGTAGCGAGGGACCACTGTAGTTAATCAAATTCGCATAACGAAATCAACATCTAGGACGTAAACTGCTGTGCAGACGTCAGTTGATTGCAGGATATGCAAGGCATGTATACCGTCAACTAAGCGTCAACAGCAATCTCATTAAAATCAGACCTTAGTTCTCGCTACCGCTTAACAAAGATCTGAAGACATCCCATTAGGGGTCACGTCAGAACGACCTTTCATCCGACAAATCAGAGCGTCACTTACCAGATCATGAAAGTGCCAGTCGGAATGTGATTTCTAATCATACAACCTCGAAAACATTAACACGGGATATTCCGAACGATAGTTACGGGTTTAAAGACTGAATCCATACAATCTAGACCATCTAATAGCCATTCCAGAATGTTCTTTTGTTCAGGTTTCAAATTTGTAATCGAGAATTTGTCAAAATATGTTTCGAAGCGCAGTCGCCAATTTGAAATTAGTGCCGTAAAGCACGAGAAAGGTGCCTTCTGATTGGCCATTCCATTGGTCGGTCAAAGTTCGTGCAAGGTCGGTCTGACGTGACCTGTAATGGGATGTCCTCAGACTATGTTTAGCAGTAGCGAAAACTAAGATCTGATTTTAATGAGATCGGCGTCAACAGATACCTTACAAATCGTTTCATGTTTTTTATCAATGTGCTCACATGATTTGATGCACTTTTCGAAGTAAGACCCGTTTTGTTACAATTTAGATCTTGATTATCGATCCTACCATCTTCACTGGGCGCCGCCATTTTGTTTGAAGCAAATGCAAGTGATATGAGAAGTGGAATCTGACTGGTCTGTGCGAGGTACATAGAAAGGACATAACTCTACGATCGAACCCAGAAATTCCAGCCTAGTTCTATAGTCAGTTAACTCCCTTGAGGTGAACACGACCAAGCTGACTGTTGTTCATTTCCCGATGAACGTCAGTATGTCACATGACTATGTTGTCAATAGAGAGCAGAGACATACAGAAATACTTTAGGGGAATTCCTCAATGTCTAAAAATAACGCCAAATAGGGACGGTATCATCATATGACAATTTCTTTTAGATTGTGCACATTTCACCAAAACCAATGCCACAATCAATTCAAATAAAGAATGAATTTTGATCTTTTTATGATATTATTGCTGTCACAAACATCTGTTTGCTGGTATGGAACACGTCGCGTGTGTTGAGCGAACTTCTCAGGCCCACTGGTTGAGTAACAAAAATGGCAGACTTGTCATCATTATGGAAAACTAGTTTCAAAGGTTTCATGGCTGATGTTACCAAATATTCAAAGTGTTTAAAACGGTACACAGCCCACTGTCTGAGAGAGACATCGATTCAGGACAATTCACATATCACACCAAGAACGCCCGTATCACATACAAAATAGCAGTATCAGCCCAAAGCATTGTATTGCTCTGCTTGTCCAGTATGTCCCGTTGTACAAAATGGGTGGTCCCTGTAGGAAGAACATACTCATCCTTACCTTGGCTGCCAGTATAGAGCAGATTGCCACAGACATCCGGTTCATGGATGGGTCTTCAAATGAACACAAGCACTCCATGACAAGCCGGGCACATCGGAATCGGTCAAAGTTCTGAACAAGAGGACGTAATAGTGTTTATTGGTGGCATGATGATAGTGAGCACTAAATCAACACCTGAGTACCATTACTGCAACAGACGTTACTAATAGTGGCACTGATATCACTGATGCAATGGATGGTACACATCGTACTGTCGTACTGATGGGGCCGATTAAGGATGAATCGATACAGCAAGATCATGATACGATACGAATCATGATACATAGGTAACAATACGACATGATTCATATCGTGATACACATATTTACGTCAAATTGCGTGGAAACTTATTGACTATAAATATTTCGGAGCATGTTCTAAAGGAAAAAGCTAGATATAGACACATGTTCACAGCTGCTATTCTTAGTAGTGAAACGCTAATTACAAAACATTTTGTGATATTTGACTTACAAATATTCCTGGTTTTTAGCAAGTGTATCGTCTTGTATCGATACAGAATAAATCATTTTGACGCACGACGTGTTGTTTCACCCCTAGTACTGAAAATACTGATGATACTGATGATACTGATAATACTGATGATACTGATGATACTGGTGACACTGATGATACTGATAATACTGATGATACTGGTGACACTGATGATACTGATAATACTGATCATACTGATGATACTGATAATACTGATAATACTGATCATACTGATGATACTGATAATACTGATAATACTGATGATACTGATAATACTGATGATACTGATAATACTGGTGACACTGATGATACTGATGATACTGATGATACTGGTGACACTGATGATACTGATAATACTGATCATACTGATGATACTGATAATACTGATAATACTGATGATACTGATAATACTGATAATACTGATAATACTGGTGACACTGATGATACTGATGATACTGATGATACTGATAATACTGATAATACTGATAATACTGATGATAATGATGATACTGATAATACTGATGATACTGGTGACACTGATAATACTGATAATACTGATGATACTGATAATACTGATAATACTGATAATACTGATGATACTGGTGACACTGATGATACTGATGATACTGATAATACTGATGATACTGATAATACTGATAATACTGATGATATTAATAATACTGATAATACTGATGATACTGGTGACACTGATGATACTGATAATACTGATGATACTGATGATACTGATAATATTGATAATACTGATAACACTGATGATACTGGTGACACTGATGCTAACGATACTACCAATGGAATTGACAGTACAAATGGCACTGATGGTACATTGTCAAGGCAACACTGTACTCACCACGTCTTGAAGGATGCGATCGCTGCAAAGAGTCAGGAGGGCATTCTTCTGAAGCTGAAGACAAAAAAATGAAGAAGGTCAATGAGTTCAGCTAAAGTCTCAGAGTCAATACAATACGTAGAAACAAGGTAAGGGTAGGGCAGCAATACATACATTGACTTGATCCTATGTTTGTCTGATGAATCACTCAGCAATATTGCAGCTTTATGACAGCACCCTATTAATAATCAAGATCAAAATAATCTGAACCAAACAAATACAGTCATAGATGTTATCAGCAGTGCTCGATGTTGTGAGGGTACAGTGAGAAGCTCATCAACCCAGTCAGCCATCCTAACAACCCCATCCATTAAGTGGCCGTGTACGTTGCTGAGGACCAACTCCAACCAGGAACCCCATCTAGCAGAGCTCATGATATGATGGCCCTGTGATGGCGACACAACAATGCAATGAGTTTTCCCACCTGTTGATGATTAGGGAAGTTCTCCATGGCCGTAAGCGTGAGATCAACCACACACTTGAGGCAGCCCGGATGGAGCTTGGAGCCGAGTTCCGACTTGGTGAGGTTGTACAGACACGCTGTGGCGGCCATCTGGACACCGAGCTGTTTCGGGTGGCTCTTCATCGACGGCAGTACAACCTGGCATGACAATAACACAGACAATGTCACAGGATATATTATCTCCAAAGTCTGAAACAACTTTTCAGACTGGTACATGTTGTAATACATGCGCTAAGTTAAAACTCCTAGATGTCATGCCCCTATATATCCCTGACACACCCTTATCCCTGACACACCCTTATATATCCCTGATGGCCCACCCTTTAATATCCTTGATACACCCTTATCTATCCCTGATGACACACCCTTATATATCCCTGATGACACACCCTTATATATCCCTGATGACACACCCTTATATATCCTTGACACACCCTTATATATCCCTGACACACCTTTATATATCCCTGACACACCCTTATATATCTCTGACACACCCTTATATATCCCTGATGACCGACCCTTATATATCCCTGATGACACACCCTTATATATCCCTGATGACACACCCTTATATATCCCTGATGACACAACCTTATATATCCCTGATGACACCCCCTTATATATCCCTGATGACACACCCTTATATATCCCTGATGACACACCCTTATATATCCCTGATGACACACCCTTATATATCCCTGATGACACACCCTTATATATCCCTGATGACACAACCTTATATATCCCTGATGACACCCCCTTTTTCCCTTGCACATGATTAAAAGATGTCAATATCACAAGGAAATCAAGGCATTTCTTAGAAGTTGATGGATGACAAAGTTGTCACTTAGTTTGAAATCCTAAAAGAAATTTGCTTAATATTTTCTCCCTCAGTTCATAAAATTTCTTATTGGAAGAAAGAAACAAAATCTAGATCCTTTGGATGCTTATGTATATCGATAAACTAAATATGGCCTCATACATCATCGTAAACAAGGAGAGGGGACGTACCTTGATTATGTCTTTCCGGGGTTCAAGCCAGGTCTGGGAGAAACTGAAGAGTTTGAACAGGGCTCTCTGTACATAGACGGCTCGCACAGAGTACCTCCGCAGGGCCTCCACGATCTGCTTCTCGTTAGCCTCGCCTGTCACCTGTATCAGGTGTGTCAAGACACTCATTAGCAACACCATCACAACATCCCACAGTTAACATTACCATCTAACTTGGTTTCCACTGTGTCCTCCATTGTGCATTTTAGGAAATGAAATCATTTCAATTACATTTTCGATCAACAATGATTAATGTTACATCTTTAATATCTATATCATTTACATGCCAAATAAACAATTATATATATATATATTCTTTACCGACCTACATCACACATCACAACCAGTTGGTTTATAGGGGCGGTCGGGTAGCCTACTGGTTAAAGCGTTCGCTCGTCACGCCGAAGACCCGGGTTCGATTCCCGACATGGGTACAATGTGTGAAGCCCATTTCTGGTGTCCCCCGCCGTGATATTGTTGGAATATTGCTAAAAGAGGCGTAAAACCAAACTCACTCACTCACTGGTTTATAATTTCCCGAAACCACAAGGAAGCATCTGCTGAAATCAGGCATGTATCTAGACTTGCTCAGATACCAATAACAGACCCCAAACTGCAGCAAATGTCAGTAAGAATTCCCAAATTGGAATTTATAATTTCCCCATACATGTTAATAAAGCTATAACTAATGCCATGGCATTGTAGAGGTGACTTGTATTTCACTGACAACAGGACCAATAAGTGGAAGAGGCTTCGATGCTTAGTTTTACATTGCTACAGTGAATGCAATATTAAACTTCTTCAGTATCTAGTAACATAAGAACCTTAAACAAAATCCCCAATTTGAACAAAATAATGATTTTTCCCAATTTGCCAGCCTGGGGTACTTAGTTTGGAATCCTACATAAATTCCTGAAAAAAGTGAGTTGATCACACACCACAATGTCATCTCGATATTCGGGGCATTCGTCGATGAACATGGAGTATTGACAGGCCTTGATGAGAGCCAGGCCAAGGAAACGAAGTCGTTGGTGATGACTCAAGTACTTCCTGCAGACAAAAACATGTTACCATGGTTACAATCTACATGACAGTAGAGATTGTTTTAAGTTTTGTAGAATTTTCCTATTCGGAATATTCTATAAGTAATACGTTACCACTGTTATACCGAGGCTGTTGCCTCCCACAACTGCTGCTATAGCGAAATCTACCACAGAGATCTCAATTACCTCATGCAGCACGTGTGTAGCCACCCAGCTGCCATGTGACACCCTTCACTCTTGTCTCCTGCGAGAGCAAGTGCTCGGGGGACGGACGGGCGGGCAGCAGCCCAGTGGTAACGTATTACTTATAGAATATTCCGAATAGGAAAATTCTACAAATTACATTAAGTAATACGTTACCACTGTTATACCGAGGCTGACTACCACAGTAGGCGGTGGGGAGCACCTACAACCCGAATCCTGACTGCTAGCGTTCCTTCCGACCAGCGGAAGTAAACACCAAGGCGGAAGCACTCGATGCGCATGCACCTAGCTAGGCGTTACCCTATAGGAATACCAAAGCACTGTCAAGCGCATACCGTAAGGCTCAATCGTCATTGCCAAAATGATTGGTGACTCCAAACGGCCCCACTGGATAGGTATTTCATCGCCGCAGCGGATGAGAACACTGTATCCGCGTGAGCTTAATCTTAGATCAGGTTAAACAGTCGAAAAGAGGGAAATTAATTTCATTCAGACCGTATATCCCAGAGCAAGCCTACTTAAAGTATGCATTAGGCGCGTGACCTAATTCCAGTATTTGTAAGCATGCATCACAAGGTTGGGATACACGACAGACAATTAAATACATAATTGTCAAAATACAAATAAGGACAAAGCACACAAAAAGCCGCCCTCACCTGTGGTGTGAGTGCGCTGGTTTGCGGGACCCCAACTCCTGTACCCACGGCAGTGGGAACATTGGAGTCGACCCAGATTGACCACCGTGCAAGGTCAGACGCCTGAGGAGTTCGGAATTGCGCTGGGCACACCCCTTAGGTGCCCGCTTGCGCAGCGATCCGCGGGCCAAGACGGTGCACACTCTCCACGACGGCATCAGCGACCTGTTTGAGGTAATGATTGGCAAAAACCGAGTCAGAACGCCAGTAACAACCCCGTAATATTCTGCGAACAGAGATATTCGAGTGTAGGGCAAATGTTGCCGCTAGCGCCCTGATCTCGTGCGGGTTTGACCCCGCTACCGGTAACCCCCGAAACCAGTACGCCAGATTGATGACAGAACGAAGCCACAACGCAATCGAGTTGCGAGTTATGTCAACCGTGCGATTAGGGTTACACGATATGAACAGACGGTCACGCCCTTGTCTACGTTCATTCGAAGCCTGAAGATAATACTTAAGGGCCCTAACCGGACACAGCGCTCTGTCCTCAGTATCAGCAGGATGTAAGATTTCTTTGAGTGATCTTACAGTGAATTCTCTCTCCGTTTGCCCGACTCTCTGATTCTTGGCGACGAAGCCCATGAGCAGGCCCAGGCGGACCGCTCCTTCGTCACCCCTATCGAATCGTACCTTGGCGACATCGAGTGCATGAATTTCGGAGACACGTGCCGCCGTGGCAAAGGAGAGAAGAAATGCTGTTTTCCAAGTCACATGCCGGAACGAAGCACTATGCAAGGGTTCATACGGAGCTTCCGTAAGTGATTGCAACACTAGGGAAAGATCCCAGGCCGGTGCCCGAAGGCGGCCCTCCTTAAGATCGTGCTGTTTGAAACCCTTGATAATACCCCGTATCACCGGCTCTTTGGAGAGACTGGTACCCATAGCAACGCCCCGTACCGTAGCAACGGACGAGACATAGTTGGCAATGGAACCCCCGGAGAGTTTCCGGGTCTCTCGCAAGTGAGACATGAAACGAGCAATATCCTGCACAGATACCTTATCTGGCGAATGAATGTGATGTTTACAACACCACTTCGTGAAAATAACCCAACGTGTATTATACACCTTCTGGGTAGAATCACGATGCATACTAACGTATGCCCGAGACGCCCGGCGAGAAAAAACTTTACTCCTCAGACGCTCGGTGACAACATCCACACGTGCAGATTGAACTGCCCTGCGTTTGGATGAAGCTGACGGGTGTGAGGGTGGATCAAGAGATCCGGTCTCACAGGCAGTGGAAGTGGCGACTGCGTGACCTGGGTCAGCAAGTCGGGGTACCACGATCAGTTCGGCCACATGGGCGCGATCAGTAACATTCGACAGCGAACTCCTCGGAGCCGGCTTAGAATGTGTGGTATCAACGCTGTCGGCGGGTAAGCATAAGCGTCCAAGCCCGTCCAGTCTAACGCGAGAGCATCGTGATCGATGGCCCTCGGGTCCGGGACTGGTGATACAAACAACGGGAGTTGATTGTTGAACCGCGTTGCGAACAGGTCGACCATCGGACGACCCAAACGTTCGCACAGCCACTGAAACACTACTGGGTTCAGCATCCACTCTGTGGGGCTCGGATCCTGAGGCCTCGATAGAGCATCGGCCAGTACGTTCCGCACACCTGGGATGTGACGGGCGCGTATCTGGCACGGGACACTGTCCACCAGAGCGTAAAACTCGAACGTGAGATCGAGTAGCGAGTGACTGTGGGTTCCCCCAGTTTGTTCACATAGGACACTACCGTCGTGTTGTCGGTTGCCAGCATGAGCCGGGCGTCGACGAGACGATGCTTCCAGTGATTGACTGCGTTGATCACTGCCTTGAACTCGAGACAAGTGATGTGAAGACCTAGTTCGTCTACGCACCACAGCCCCGAGCTCACCTCCCCCTTTAGATGGGCGCCTCAGCCCACTAGAGAGGCGTCTGTATACAGGGTCAACGTGGCCCGGTAGGGTGGCATAGAGACTCCTGAGAAGACAATGTAAGGGAACCGTCCACCACTCCAGATGCGGGCGGAGCCGATCCGGGAGGGCGACGGTCGCACTGTTCACCTCCGTTGCTAACAACTGGATTAAAAACCGTTGCAGCGGGCGGAGTTGGAGACGACCCCGTGCGGTGCAGTCCTGGGCTGATACAAGTAGCCCTAACAGCTGTTCCCAAAAGTGAACAGTCTGTTGCACCGCTAAGACTTTGGCAATCATCGCCTGAATTTTGTGCCACCGGTCTGGGGGGACAAAGAGGCGATGGGACACCGTGTTGAACCGACCTCCGATGAACAGCAAGTTCTGAGAAGGGGTTAACTCGCTCTTGGGGAGATTGATAATCCACCCAAATTGCTCCACGAGCCGACGTGCGAAAACGAGATGGCGTGACAGGGTGTCCGTCATTCGATTTGCTACTAGCGAGTCGTCCAGGTACGCGAAGTACCGGACACCCCTCCTGTGGAGGAACCCCACTATGGGGGTGGTTAACCGGGTGAACAGCCAGGGAGCGGACGTGTGAATCATTCTGAGTTCGGCACTGTCCTACTTGGGAACGAGAAATATCCAGGAGTAAAACCCCGGTGTTATTTCTGGTAGAGCTAACTCCCGTACTGCCCCTTCTCCACCAACCTGCCGATGGCATCGGCGAGGATGGGAAGATCGGTTTCCGAATCGAAACCTGCCAACGGGGCAACGGTGAGCGGCGGATTCGCTTTGAGATCAAGCCGATAGCCGTACCGAATCGTGTTGACCACCCACGGGTCGTCAAACACTTGTTTCCAATTCTCCCAGTAAGTCTGGAGTCTGGCTCCCACTGGGGAAGGAGAGGGGGCCCTGACAGGTTGCGGCAGGCGCAACTGTCCAGGGCCAAGTGACTCGGGTTCGCCTAAGGGCCAACCAAAGTTGGCGCTGTCGGCATACGAACCCCTCCAATGAGAGTCACCTGGAGGGGCCCTTGCCGTCCGTCGACGACTTGGGCTTCCCCCAGTTCCCCGTCTTCCCGTGAAAGGGCAGCTGATTGCCCATATCGGAGCCCTCAGGGCGGGGCTACTTCCCAGAGGAAGAAGAACCCGACCCCTTAGACCTACCGGCCGCAGCAGCCTGGGGCGCGCTCCGGTTAGGAGCGGCACCCAGGCGCCTATGCAGGGACCCAACAAGAGCAAGTGTGTGCCGAGAGTCCTCGGCAACGTACTCCAGGGAAGCATTTAAACTGAGCAGGCAGTTGTAAATGCGCTGGTCACGGTCCGTGGGAGAACCTTCGACCAGACGGGCCGCTGCAGCCAAGTAAGTGTCTCCGTGAGACATGGAGTGCCGAGCGAGGGCGTCCAGCTGGTGCAAGGTAGCTTGCGTTACCGTAGCAGCCGGTGGGGCACGGACACCCAACCGCTCAACATGGGCCTCCGCGGTAGGACCAGCCTCGGGAAAGGCAAGGTCATGTACCGGGAAGAAACCCTTTCTCCACGACGTCGGAGGCAACGGGAGACCCCGACCGGAGGCCGCCGCGAAGGCGTTCTCCAAGGAAGGCTTGAAACCGCGCAGCAAGGTTGATGCGGGGAAAGCCGTGTCGGAAGACTCATCGTATACCTCGGAGGAACCCACAGTCGTGGATTCCCCGCAGTACCGGCCGGGGCATGTCCTCAAAGAGGTCATAAACCATGGCCACGCGGTCCTAAACCGATAGCGGGAGCAACGGTTCGGGGGAAGGACCGGTGACCACGGGAGCCGCCGCCGTACCGGTGGACCCCGCGGCCACCGAAGTGGCCGGGGACGGAACAGCCAGCGGCCTATCCTGAGATAAGGCCGCCAGCTTGGAGTCCACAAGTTATGCAAGTAATGCAGCGACGGAATCCCAGGACAGCACACGGGCCGCCAAGAGATCCGCCGCTTTACCGGTGGACCCCGCGTCCGACCCCGAGGCCACCGAAGAGGCCGGGGACGGAACAGCCAGCGGCCTATCTTGCGATAAGGCCGCCAGCTTGGAGACCACAAGTTTCGACAACAAAGCGGCGACGGAATCCCCAGACAGCCCGAGGGCCGCAAGGGGATCCGCCGCAGCCGAGGAGGTGGTACCCGCACGGGGACCCCGACCGGACGAACCGGCCACCACAGGGGTGGAGACGGACTGTACGTACAGCCGGTACCGCTCAAACTCCGCAGGCCCCAGACCTTCGCACAGGATGCACCGGGTGTCCCCGCAAGGAACCCTGCACCCCGGGCAACGATCGTGGGGATCCCGGGACGACAAAAACTTTCTGCACACCCCACAACTCCGAGGAGCAGGGGTAGAGGGGGTGGATACTGGGGACATATCCATGTCAGACATTGATTGTTTGCTATAAACAAAGAACAAAACATGGTTACAACGCACGCACCACAATGATTCACAAACGAACATTTTCACAAGAAAATAAACGAGCAATGTGAACATATAACATACACATATAACTTTTATTAAAGAAATAAGTGATGTTAACCCCCAAAACATACAAGAACAGGGGAAATGTAAAACACAACGTGCATACGCGAACCCCGCAAGTATATAGAAAAAAGGGCGGGAAAATTATAACCAAGCGTAGCTACCGCAACGCCCCATAAAAGCACAGTTTATTAGAGAATAAACTATAATAAATATCACCAAATCTTCAAGGAACGCTTCAGCAGGAGAAAACACGTCTTGCTAAGCAGACGAAGGAGACAAGAGTGAAGGGTGTCACATGGCAGCTGGGTGGCTACGCACGTGCTGCATGAGGTAATTGAGATCTCTGTGGTAGATTTCGCTATAGCAGCAGTTGTGGGAGACAACAGCCTCGGTATAACAGTGGTAACGTATTACTTAATGTAATTATTTGTAATGATTATCAGTGGCAACAAACGACTGAAAGCTCATAAAATGTCAAGTGCTGTCGAGACCAGGTTGGAACATGAGGTGTGATTAGAGTTACATCCCTTGGTTATTGACAAACATGACAGTCTTCATCATTTGAGAAGTTTCTGGAAGTCAGGCTGTACCTATATAAGAGGGAAAGGGGTGGAAGGATGGGTCGGTGGGCAAGTAAGTTAAGTTGAACATCATTAATTAGCAAAAGGGGCCCTATAATTCTGAAGCCTGACCAATCAACAGGAAGGTTTGGACAGCTGTTATGGTTTCTTACTTGAGTAGGTCTTCACCAACATCATCCCGCCCGGAGATGTCCAGCGACGTCAAGTTGGGGTGACTCAAGGTCCTCTCAAGAAGGGAGGTAATCTGAAACTTGGGCGGATAAATACTGATGAAAGACTGTGAGCTGTCGCTGGAGATGTCCAGATGCATGAGCTGCGTTAGCTCACACAACACCGTCACCAGGTCCTCCGTGTTCGTCACCTGGCAACCACAAGTCACATGTATCAGAGTCATTATAAAACTTGAACATCAGGCCAGATCCTCCCCCATCAATATGTTCATAAAGGTTATTATAATTTCTACTAAGATTTCACATGTTTAAAAGCAGACTTCTTCAAATAGAGAATGAAAAGTAAACCAGGGCCTCACACATCCATGATCCAAATAACAAAAAGGTTTGATCGTCAACATGGTAAGCATTTTTAATCTGACATATGAGTATCCGAAATAAAGAAGAACATACACTCACCAACAAAAGAAACGCGAACACCATACATGTTGGTTAATATATGAAGAATTACTCATATTCACGAGATATTAGAATGAGTTGATGCACAAACAAACGTGTGAACCGACACTCATGAACTCATCACATGTGACGTCATAGATCCATGACGCACGATGCAACATTTTTCTCATGCAGGATTAGTGTGTTAAGTTGGAAATCCTGTGCAGCATATCGTGATAAGATACTCTTACAGCTTTGTTGTTAATTGCTACACATTGGAAACATCTCTTCTTAACGTACATCCTTCTCTATGTTTCTATGGTTTGCATTTCTTTTGGCGGTGAGTATATAATATAAATAACAAAATAGTTTTTAGAAGTCATTTTCACTGGAGCCAATACTAAGACCTGGATACACAGGGCAAAACATTGACAGCCGATCCCTATACTTATGCACACTTATCATGAATCACTTCCTGAAATATTCTTGAAGTCATTCCTAATGTGAACAGTTCTTACCTGTAGATTGTACATAGACAGTGACTTAAGGCGGTCCTTGCACTTCCGGAGTGGGGAGACGTCATTAATTGCCGTCCCCGAGATGTCGATACTCTCAAGACCAGGCAAATCCTCTGCTATAATCTCAAGTCCGTGCTTATTGAACTCTGTATGACTGACGTTTAAACTTTGAAGATTTCTCAGTTTTGATAATGAAACAACAACACAAAACTTTGCACTGTTTAGAAAGGTCGAGTTGCTGACATTAAGTACCCGTAGATTTGAAAGCGTCCATTCACCCAAGCAGCTGAAGATGTCATTCACAGTTACACTTTTTAGACCAGTTATCTCCAGTTCTGAGATTCGATGTGATTTGAACACTCGTAAACCTTTTGTAGTCACTTGTGCATCTTTGATGCTAACGCGCCTCAATGTTGTGACATTCGGGTCAAACAGAGCCAGGGTTTCGTCATTCAGGCGTCCCTTGTCACATAGTGAAGCCATCAGCTGCTCAGACAAGTTGCTATGGAAATAGGCATCTGCATCCTTGAATGAGTACTTTGTCTGATTCGTATCAAGACTGGTCTGGACATCACACAAAGCTGTCAGATTATCACAGATAAAATCGACGCAGCAATTCTGCAGGCTTATAGGTGTCTCGTACATCTTGCCTGTCCTCAGTGTTGTGACCTGCGCCGGAAACAACAGAGGAACAATGGAACATATTAATCACAATTCTCAACGAAAATACTGATGTCACAAGCATTATCATTATGACCCTTGTCACATCCTCATATGTTCATCTTATTTCCTGTGAACATGCATGTACTCCTACTACAGTCATACTACTTTCATAAACAACCCTATATTTATGGGCGCACGGGTTGCCCAGTTATCTAAGGTGCTGCAATTCGCTGTGCAGAATTTTATCCCTTAGGCACGCCAGAAACATGTGATTGCTGGTTCAAAAACCTATTTGCCCGATTATGTTTCTAGGTTTGTCAGCACCATACCCGTGCTCGTGGGTTTCACCAAAGCGGTAAACGTCTGAGACCTGCATCACTTCAGGCTTCCCTCCCAAATGAACACAAATGACAGACCACTATCATTCTTACTCTCATCAATTCTTTTACCTCTGAAAGTATAGTATTTCATAGAGCTAGAATTGGCAGCCTATCCCTGCTATCTGCTTAAAGGAAGCAATCTACTGCAGTTAGCCGTTTCAGAAGCTTAATCTCCTTCTCTCCTTTCTACTCTGGAACAGCCGGTCAATGGCCTGAATGAATGGGATACCACAAATGGGATATCTTCATGTGGTATTTTAGAGTGAGTGAGTGAGTGAGTATGGTTTTACGCCACTTTTAGCGATATTCCAGCAATATCACGACAGGGGACACCTGAAATGGGCTTCACACATTGTACCCATGTCGGGATTCGAACCCGGGTCTTCGGCGTGATGAGCGAACGCTTAACCACTTAGCTACCCGACCGCCCCTGGTATTTAAGAAACTGTAGAAGTAATTGCTATGTGGCAGTAGATATTGTTGTAGGTAGTGATGGTCAGTGGCACCACTCGAACAAAATCAAGTATTGTAGTGGCCGGATTGTTAATAGTATGCCTCAGCAGCTAGTAGACTAGAGTTACCTCCCTTAGCGTTGTAAACACTCAGGACAGACTACAGAAATGGGCTTCACAGATTGTACCCTTGTCGGGAATCGAATCCGGGTCTTCCGCGTGACGAGCAAATGCTTTAGCCACTAGGCTACCCGACCACCCCTGAACCTAGGTCAGAGAGGACAAGAACAATTTGAGGCCTTCCACAACTTGTGTCTTATCTTCTTGCCAACTGAGGATGGGACACCCATCTTCCTGCCAGCTTCCAACATTGTTTCCAGATTGAAGAACATGTGTCTCATTCAAGACATTCCACAGTGAAATTCTGGACATTTGTCAGTGTTGCCAGAGCTACAGATAAGCAGCGTATTTGCATAAATACGCCCCCCACCCCACCCCACACCCCCCCAACCAAATATTCAAAACCCAATTACTTTCAATTTACTTGCGTACAGAAACACATGCATTAAATGAAAAACTCAAATGTATAAAAACAGCCCGCTTCAATATCCAATGAAGCTTTTTCAGCATGCGTACAAAGGAGCTAATTTCCAAAACACAATAGCGAGATAATTTACTTTCCGACTAAAGCCCATATATTTAGAACAGTTATATACGTCTAAAATATGATTTCATTTTTTCAAAATCTTAAACTGTTCACTAATTTTGTGAAAAACCCAATAGAGTGATGAATAGACGAGTGAAAAAATATTGGTTACCCAATGAAAAATGTAATAACCCAGTTGAAATAGAAACCGTTATCTGGTGCTCTGGTTGTGTTAGGTTTGTTTGCATTATGCCTGTGTCCACGCGCCATCACGCTATGACATCACGTTCCCCGCTTCAGAAGTGACATCATGTACCTTGTATCACTCAAACAACATATTTTCTTCATTGTCCTCCCAGTTCAGGTGCAGGTCGTAAAAGTACACTACAGTGAGTGCACTGACATTTGTTATAGAGCCTGAAACTTGCTGCTGAAACTTATGGGACCCATCATATTGCCGTTTGTCATTGTAAACCTAAAACTGTGTTCCAACATAATTAGTTCACTATTCGTTATTTTTGTTTGGAAATTTACTGATGTCACAATTTAGTTCTGTATGAACCGATTTCTGGGTTAACCCTCTGGATGCTGAGTTTTTTTCTGACGCACATTTTCCTAAGATCGGAAAAGTGAAGGTTGTGCGAGAATTGCGCTCACGCGGCACTGGATCTACCTCTGGCTATAAAATTACGCAGAGGTCGAGAATATTAAATTTCCTATTTGATGGTGTAAATTTAACTGCAAATATTAAACCGTTTTTTTAAAAAGACACTTCTAAGTGTTGTCCGAGAATTTATTCTGCGTTGAAAACAGTAAATTTCTCCGTTTTTTATCGTTCACCGATAAAAGTACTGTGCGACGTTGTTTTTTTTAATTTAGAAGCTTTACGGAAACTGTGAGCGAACAAAATACTGCCTGTTATCTGAACGACATAACTACATATCAAATGGAGTTATATGCGTATGTATAACGACATACATTCAATGCCAAAAACAGCATGACGTAAATGATGAAAACTGATTTTTCTCTATGAGGTCAAACGGCGACAGAGGGGTTACACACTTCCAAAGAAAAGGGGGCATAACTCTGCTATGCTTAGGACTAGTTTATTGTAACTCAGGTCACTTGGTGAGAATTGGCTGTTGGTAAGGACAATATATTTTCGTGGTGTTTTGTTCACGAGGAACCAAACTATTCCAAAAACAAATGTTGATATTGAAACTGTATACGTTTAGTTATAAAAAAAAAAACATAAGAAATTATGAAATGATACTTCATAAAAAAGAGGTAATAGAGACGTTGGATGGCCCTATCTTCAGTTTTAAAATAAAATGAAACGGCTATTCATGGACATTGGGTATATGAACTTATAATATTGACTATTACACATCCCAAGAAATACGTACATGCTGCAGTTACATTTACACAAACTTCATCTTGTAACACTTGTCCAAAGGAAACAACAAAACAAACCAAAGGAAAGAAATATCGTATTCGACACTATAAACCTATCAATTCTTATGTAAACAATGGTCAAACAAACAGGATATTATCAAAGGTTCGTTCATACATGTTGTGGCCTATATTTACGTATGATATCATTTTGAACATTGACAAATATCCAAAGTGAAATTAATTGTGTGAAAATAATGTATAAAAGATATGCAAAATCTACATCATAACTGAAACTGCAAACGGCATGATACAATGATCGTGTGCACTCTCATTCAAGGACCTTCACCTCAAAGAAATTACCAAATATGTACAACAATGTTCGACTTTTACAAAATGGCGTGTTCACCGTCATCAGTAGGCTAGATTTTACGAGGGGACTTTCGTTGATTCAGGGATCGTATATACATAAATGTGACATGTAAGTAATCAGAAACATTCTGACAATCTATGTACTGTTTTCTGTTGTTATATGTTTCATTGAAACCAACGGATATAGTCAGAAATTCCAATAAATACCGTTGTCGTTGTGCATGATTTTGCGTCAGTCATGGCGTCACACAGGACGGTAACTTTGACAATTTCTGTTGAAAATATCAAATCATGGCAATGTATCTATTTTAAATTCCCTAATTCTTCCTACGATTCTCTTTCCATGCTTATTATGAAAATGTTGAGCCAATATCTTGAACGAATAGACAAATGGATAGCTCAAAATAGGAGAAAATGCTACACTGTGTAAAATCTGAATTTTGCTTTGTTTACATTTCAAACAAAGTGCAGTTTTTCAAGCACAGCTTTCGTTTTCACACCTAATTTATTTTGCTTGATTTCATCTAGGCACTTTGTATTGGTGACAAAGACCATTGATCATTTGATTCTAAAATGTATGAGGAATTCAAGGATGTATGTATCGCAGCTAAGTTTGAAATATACGTGATGTTACAGGCGCCTCATAACCGGTGTACCTGAATTTTGTGATTTTGTAAACACTAGCCAATATGGCAGAAAGTTCTCATCGGTGTTCGTGTATTTTCTAAAACATTCGAAACGATTCTAGTGTTATCGGAGACATTTTGGAATGATCATTGGTGATTTCATACAAGACAGATACCCATGACTACTAATATGCTATTTTTGAAATTCATTTCTCCGAGTAAATATCCGAAATTTAGATTTCAAAACATGCTGTAAACAACGCCGTGAGTGGTGATTTAGCAATGTGTAAAAAATGGCGACATTTACGATGTACCTAATTTTCAGAGGTAATTTTCAGTACTTTTGCTTGGCCAAAAATGCCAGTGGGTGATATCACAAAACAGGAAATTTCCCACCTTATTTAAAACTGTGAAGTGTATTTGTGTGGGTGATGTAGTTCAAAGTGAGGGTTGTAGAGGAGGGACATATATGTCCCTGTGGCATCCAGGGGGTTTAACTTCACATTTCATTTTTGAAATCACCTACCAACAAAATAAAGACAGCACTGACTACAACAACTAGTATATGTTTTTCTGTGCAACTTTTCAACAGCTTGACAATGGTAAAAGAACATGTCCTGAAATATGATAAAGCCACAACAGCGTTAGATCCATCTTCGTGATAAATGGGCATGCTATGTTTGTATCTTTCCAAAACAGAACAGGTCATATGGCCAAACACATCAATTTTCAGGTCAATTCAAACTTAATATGGTGAAAATGAAATTCTGTTTGTCACATGCTATCATCTTCCCGAGGCAAGAGAGTTAACTGACTATAAAAGTCCAGTTTCCACGCTTGCAGAACTAGGCTGGAATTTCTGGGCTTGATCGTAGCGCCACCTGTGACCAGTGGCTATTACAAGGTATGTCCTTTCTATTTACCTCGCACTGACCAGTCAGATTCCATTTTTCATATCACTTGCATTTGCTTCTAACAAAATGGCAGCACCCAGTCAAAACGATCTAATTAACAAGATCTATATTGTAATAAAATGGGTTTTTTCTCGCAAAGTGCATCAAATCACTTGAGCACCTTGATTAAAAACATGAAAAGATTTGGAAAATATCTGCCAACACCCTGCTGACTGTCGCAAATCCTGCAGTCGACCGAAATCTGCATGTTGAAATCCATGTTTACAAACCAGATGTCTTGTTCGTTACGCGATTGGATTTGACTATGTATAGCCTTGTTAGTCCAGCCAAAATGTAACTACGGAATCCCAGCCTAGTTCGGCAAGGGTGGAAACTGGACTTTTAGAGTCAGTAAACTCCCTTGCCTCAGGAAGATGCATGCTATGTGCTGTTATTCATCCTTGGTCCCATCAGGTTGAAATTATGAGATTCAAGGTTTACCATTGTAACTGTCTTTGGACATCTTGGAATAGGGAATGGCTTTATTCAGGTTCAGTGGATACATTGTACTTCCTGAAGCAGACACAACTGAATGCCAGCTGGTATCAGTAGTAAGGACTTAGTGATTCTTGTTTACACAGGGAGCAGCCACATGAATACATTTACATCCTGTATTTCATCAACCAAGAGCCAAGACCTCTAATTATTACAGTCTACTTCTACCCAACCAACATACGACCCGGGGTTTTTTAGGAGCCAAACATTTGATATTCTGGGGGCTGACTGGGATATTTTATAATCTATTCCTGAAAATGATGAAAAAAAACAACTTTTATCAGGTTCCTGTTTACCCGTAATAACCAGTTTTTTACCGGTAAAATTCGGCCTGGACCAGTAATTCTTTTGACTGCAAGTCCCCGTGGACCGGCAAATAAGGTATCTGGTAAATCTTTGTTGTTGAACAAAACATCGTCAATAGTCCAAAAAGTATATTTTTCAAACAAAGTCAGCTTCTCTGTTATCAGGGTTTTCAGTTGTCTATTTTTCGTGCAAGGAAATAATATATCGCTTTGCTTCAAGCTTAAATATCTATTTGTAGTGACTTAGTCTTGAATCAAAGTGAAATATTCAGAAAAGAAAGAGAAAATTGTGATTGAACTTTGTGTGAATGGTGTGTAGATCTACATAAGTTACTTCAGAAATGACATCACTGAATTTGTCAGCCATGAACATGATGAAAGAACACTGCATTGAAATTGATGTTGAAAGAATTAAAACCAGGTAATTTTTATAAGATTTCTATTTGTTCAAAGTTGGGACTGACAAAAATTGGGTGCTACTGGTAATTTTTATAATTGTCAGTCCACCGGGACTGGCAGTTTCCAAAGCCAGCGGGAACACTGGGCTATATCTGTGACAAGTAGGGACAGCTCAGTTACGTAAGCATCAGGGTTTACAAAAGTAAAGGGGAGAAATCAGTAGTTGATGCAGCCGTTGCTAGAGGACAAAATATTATTTCAAAAACTTACTCAAATATGCATCTCATAATCACAATAATCGATTATTGAGGCCACCTTATGGACGAACTATCGTACATAGGACTGAATTAATGAACTTAAAGATCATCCTTGTCTAGTCACATGGTGCTTTTCTTGTGAATTGTACATTTGAGTAAGGTAACTGGATGTTTGAATTAAAATGAGTATAGCTGAAACATTAAAGGTAGAATATGTTCTATTATAGGTAAACATGAACACATATTGCACACATAGAACATGTGCCTACCACAAACAGGACTACAAACATACTGGTATATTCAGTGCTTGATTCAACCATGACATAATCCTTCTTGGTGGATCATATACTAATTGGAGTTACGCAGTGCTGTAAATGTGCACTATCTTACAACCACAACCAACATGAACTGACTGTTCCCGAGTGCCTTGCAATCATGGCAGTAGGCCTGTCCTGATGTCCACATACAGACACGTTGTAGCAAGATATGTATATACTATGCATAATCATTAATATTATATATACTGGATATACAGAAGGAAGGTCATGACGTTATTAACATGTCAACGTACCCAAGAAATCCATCGTCCTGTGTTAACTAAACATGCTAAAGGTAATATGCGACTGACAGTGACAGATTATATTGACAGATCTGTTGGCCTACTGCAATGTTGTTATTTATATATTATAAATAATAGCAACTGCGTGTAAGTAATTCAAGCTTTACGGCTAGGTGAACCATTCAAATGATATACACATGCTATATCAGCGTCAACATCAAACAGGAAACTTTTCAGCCCACACATTTCGTTTTCAGATCAAATATTTTCCTTCCACGCGTTGAGGGTTGATTGTGTCACTATGTTTACCCCTATCAGCAGACAAATCGTGAGAATTAATCTCCATTCCTGGATTTATCTTACCTCAACGATCAAAGTGACACTTGAGTGATTAGGAAATGTGTGGACATGGATATATAAACGTCTACTTTCTTGCTACAGGTCGTTGGCCTCTGGATTCAGCGACATCTTCGCCATGACGCAAATTCAAGAACGGTAACTCTCATTTCCGCGCACCTGCCATCCTGAAGTTGTCATTGCTGCAGACATGTTGCCATGGCTCTTCGATGTTTGTCACTCATTGTAGCCCATTTGACATTCAGTCTTGACAGTTTCTAAAGATGTGCTAAATGGGAGAGTTGCACCCGACTCGCCTAAAAAATATATATAATATTTTGGTATGCGTTTGGCAAATATAACTTAGGTTAGGCCTAAGGATCACAATTACTAGTATATTCATACACAAGTATGGAAATAATATTTAAAAAAACAACGTACCATCCATAGAATTTGTCTTCTGTCATATTTACATCTGCACTTCATGTTGAGTCGGTGGGTCAGTGCCCAGTCGGTTACGCTATTGGGACCGAGACTACAACACTAACATTTAGGTACATTATGTGTATAAAATGCATTACTATGTATTTCTGATAGTTACATACTTAATCTAAAATACAAAAACCGACCGTAGTTCGCTCAAAAACATTTTAGGCGAGTCGGGTCAATATCTTTTGAGACGAGACGGATTTTAGGCGAGTTGGGTGTATCCCAAATGGGAACATTGAAGTAGAGGGACTATACATGTATGCGATTAGAAATAACATAGCATTTGATGCTAAGATAAATATAGAAAGATAATAACATTTAAGAGGATTCTTCGCGGTCGAGTGCCCGTTTTGGTGTGGACTTTGTATATTGTATGAAACGGAGATATTGTTTCTGTGCAGTTAGGGTTTTGACTGACTGCAGTCAAAATTGTTCGGACTACTATTTGTCACAAGCATATTTCTCTTTTAACATGAGAGCATAAGTATAGGATAATAATAAAATGGTGACTGTTCCAGTATAGGATAATATTAAAATGATGACTGTTCCAGTATTGGGTAATATTAAAATGGTGACTGTTTCAGTATAGGATAATATTAAAATGGTGACTGTTTCTGTATAGGGTAATATTAAAATGATGACTGTTCCAGTATAGGATACTATTTACAGATGACTGTTCCAGTATTGGATAATATTAAAATGGTGACTGTTTCAGTATAGGATAATATTAAAATGGTGACTGTTCCAGTATTGGGTAATATTTAAATGGTGACTGTTTCAGTATAGGATAGTATTAAAATGGTGACTGTTTCAGTATAGGGTAATATTAAAATGGTGGCTGTTCAAGTATTGGGTTCTATTTTAATGGTGACTGTTCCAGTATAGGATAATATTAAAATGGTGTCTGTTTCAGTATAGGATAATATTAAAATAGTGGCTGTTCCAGTATTGGGTTCTATTTTAACGGTGATTCTTCCAGTATAGGATAGTATTAAAATGGTGACTGTTTCAGTATAGGGTAATATTAAAATTGTGGCTGTTCAAGTATTGGGTTCTATTTTAATGGTGACTCTTCCAGTATAGGATAGTATTAAAATGGTGACTGTTTCAGTATAGGGTAATATTAATATGGCGACTCTTCCAGCATAGGATAATATTTACAGATGCCTGTTCCAGTATTGGGTTCTATTTAAAGGGGCACTGATCTAAAGCAATTCCCCGGGACTGGTTGTTGCCTTTGTTATTGTTTTTCCCCCGTGTGTCCCCGGATGTATAGCAGAAATCTAGACTAGTTCGCGACCTCTGCTGCGCCATTCGTAAGCGCATTAGTCACTTTTATGGGTAGTAATAAGGGCGTATGGTCACATTGATCAACAACATGAAATACAGTTTTCGAGATGTAATGGTATGTAGGTATCTTTGTGGGTAGCATCGGTAATGATGACGAAGTTTTGATAAGTCACTTGTTTGGTAATTTTGCGATTTTCGTTTACACTATTTTGACTTGCAACACAAAGTAAATATTTCACCTGAGCATTGCTTTTTTTATAGTGTGTATATTTTTTAACTGTCAATATGTGTAACATTTTCAAATTTAGTAAACGCCTAAATATTCAGTTATTTTACAAAGTGACTGAAAAACATTTCCATCTGTATTATTATGATAACGAATTCCAAACATTTTGATGTTTAATGTCATCACCAAGAGACTGAAAATGTTACGTTGAAAAGTACATTTCTATGTTGTTTGGCTTCTAATCCTACATAACAATTTGTCGTGATGTTTTTAGGCCCTTTTGATCGTCTTAATCAATTTTAGTCAATCTGGACAGATTTTTCAGTCAAATTGACTTAAATATTTACACATTTTATAAATTGCCTGAGAGAATCACATTTTACAAATTGACGGTAATATACTCTTCAAAAAAAGAAACTTTACACTGACTTTCAAAATGTAATATAATGCAATTGTTTCAAAATAGGACACAGAAACCCTAATTGAAACACTGTTTGAAGATCAATGTACACAATGTTCAAAACATTAATCGTGTCACCTAGACAGACACACGTACACGATACAGTTAATGTCACAGGGGTACAGAAATGTCAGTATCGGTTGTGGCAACCACGTGCATTAATCACCGCTTTACACCGACGACCCATAGATGCAATCAAGTTGTCAATAACACGTTGTTGGATGTGCTGCCATTCATGCTGAAGTGCATCAAGAAGCGCCGGAAGTGTTTGGGGCGGTGGATTCCTTCTGCGAACGCGTCGATCCAACTCGTCACCACAGATGCTCAATCGGGGACAAATCTGGTGACCGGGCTGGCCAAGGTAATGTCTTGATGTTGTTGTGCTGAGCGTTGTCCTGCTGGAACTGTCCGCCATGAACGTTGACGTGAGGAAGAACGTAAGGCTGTAGGATCCAGTCTCTGTAACGCACATCTGTCAATGCACCTGCCACATGCACGAGAGGCGTCCTACCACCGTGATGAATTCCGGCCCATACCATGACACTCCCGCCGCCAAATGGGACAACCTGCTGCACACAGTTGGGGGCGTAACATTCACCCCGACGTCTGTAGACACGTGCGCGCCCATCAACACGTGTGAGTAGGAAACGGGACTCGTCAGTAAATAGTACATTTCTCCACCTTGCACGTGCCCATCTAACCCTCTGTTGGCACCAAAGCAGACGGTCCGCCAGATGACGTGGGGTCAATACATGACGTCGAACAGGTCTTCGTGCAAAAAGTCCAGCCTCCGTCAATCTCTTGCGTACCGTTTGATCTGTTATTCTGCGTACCCCAGGGCTGTGGAAGTGCGGTCTGGGAGGTGTCGCAGCCGGATGTATCGATCTTGTGCTTGGGTTGTCACCTTTGGTCTTCCTGACATTGGTCTGTCGTCAACTCTGTTGGTGTTGTTGTATCGGGTCCACAGTGCGGAGATTGTCTGTCTGGATACGCCAAAGTGCCTGGCCACTTCTTGCTGAGTTGCTGCAGCTTGTAATCTCCCAATGGCGTTGTTCCGTTGAGCTGCATTCAGTCTTGGCATTCTGTCACTGCCTCTACTGTCGTTATAAGGACTGTATGAACAGCCGTTGATGTCGATTTTTATACCCATTCAGCAGGGGGGCCTGCATGCCTAAATGCAGGATCCTGAAGTTTATATATACACGCTTACAAAGGAAAAGACTTGTGAAAACAACGTCCATCGCACATTGAAGAATTTCCCAACCAAGACGTAGAGGAACAAGAACGAATTGGTTCTATGCTATAGCAAATGAAGGAAAACAAAATGCAAATACCATAATTACAACCTACCAAATTTATGTGTATCAATTTTAGGCAGCTTCCTTGTTCGAGGAATGTATCCGTGAATATCCACACAAAGGAACAATATCCCACTCGTCTGCAGCTGTACAAAGAAACTTATTCGATGTCGAGTGTCTCTGTAGCAATCAAATATTTTAAAAGGTATATATCGTTTCAGGATATTATAACCCGTGTTCGTTTCTCAACTGATCACTTAGATTGTTTCAGGTGTTTCACATAGGTGTCAAGTCTCAAGGGTCGGCTGAGAAAGCCCACGTGACAACTATTTTCATAACGTCCACGGTTCCTAAAAAATCCATTGAGTGATAGATAACAATGAGCAATCCATCAACGTATTATCAGTTAACCCTTTGAACAAAGTATGTAGTTTTTACATCGGCACCTCACGCCATGATATGAGTGTATTCCCTTTGTTTTAATAAACCTAGACATGTAAACACTCACTTTTGACATATCCACTGTGCAAGATAACAGTGATTAATCAATCAACGTATATACTGTTAATCCTTTCATGACTAGGAACGATCCGTTGATTTACAAAAAAAATAACTCAAGTGATCATTCCCCTCTTGCTGGGCTGCCACGTGCATACTACATAATACACATTTCACCTCACTTCAAACCTGGATTTAGATTGAATAATTACCCCAGACACAATAAATGCCAAATGGGAACCTTTGTCAGGTAATCTAAGTGGTGCTACCACTAATTGTACCTGTAATAAATTCATTAACTGAGCATCAAGTGAATGACGACAAATACACAAGTGTAGGGTTATACCAGAAAACATGGATTACAACAAGGGAGAAGTAATCGTGGTGACTCTTCCAGTATATGATAATATTCAAATGGTGACTGTTCCAGTGTAGGATAATATTAAAACAGCGACTGTTCAAGTATAGGATAATATTCAAATGGCGACTAGTATATTACCCCAAAACTGAAGCGATCTTCATTTTATTAAGTTAGAAGTTAAATAATGTCTCAACTAAAGGAGTATTTTCTGAAGAGATCGACTTATGTTAGATTGCATGTTCCTAATTGTAGTTATGTTTTGTATAAATATTATTGATTGTTAACGTAGCATGGAAATATTCATCCATATGTGGCACACGCACAGTCATCCATAGTATGCAAAGCATACATGACGTTGAATCATTCTTGTCACATTTTGGAAGGAGCTTCAGTGCGGCGTGTGCTACTTGCGAATTCTAAACGTCGCTGTAAGAAGCTAATCCTATTTGTTCATGTGATGCGGAAGTATCAGTTCAAAGGTCACGAGCAATTTGACATAAACTCAAACAAGCGCTATGGCGGGACTCAAGGCGACCGATTGTGAGTTTTTACTTGACAGTCACACGTGATAAACACTTACCAAGAAGTTAGCCTCAATTTTTAGCGCTTTGAATGCAAGGCTATGTAAGATGTCGTGTGGAGATAGCACCAACTTTGTACATGACACAACACGCCCACATGATATGTGAATGTTATTCAACAGGACCGAAGTACTCCAAATAAATATGTTCCATCAGTGTATATGATATATTGTGTGGAAGCTGTTGAATTGTTACCTGTAGCTGTAGTAAATGAGGGAACATGTACATGCACAATGTGAATATCCTTACATGCCGAGCATGTCATGGGACTGGTGAAACACTCATTAACCGCAATAGTCAGCTGATACTAGTCCTATATAATCTGAAACAAGACACCGATGGGTCTCTATGTCATTCCTAAAATATTATATAGTGGAAATAATACCCAAACCTTAGAATGTAAGGTCATGGATTCTTCTGAGAAAACAAATGAGACATTTTACTCTTGTCTGTAATAAAGTCACACCAAAGGGCATCCCCAATGATGTTTTTATTTGAAACATGTTCATGATGATAGGAAGACATTCTTGTGGCATAAAGCTGCTAAATCCAGAGAGAACTCAACAAACAGAGATGAACTGTAGTGTTTTATACATTTTCAAAAACCACAGAAGTCAAGTCAGAACTAGACCCTCACTAGTGTATATGGAATTCTATGTTCAAAACTTCATTATGAGTGTAATTGAGTCTCATTTAGGGGCACTTAGTTTTGAATCATGGATTCCCACTGTTTTCCCACTGAGCTACCAGGGCAGATGATGAGAATTTGTTCACTTTTACATGTCATGACTCCGGGGGTCCATGCTGCACAGGTTTCTTCTCTCACACGCTTTGATTGAATTCCTTTTATACCGCGATACACTGTATTGTTTCACTATAAGGTATGTTAATGGTTTCTTATTTTATCTGGTATTTCTTGCATTTGGACTGTTCATAAGTTGGATAAAAAAACACACCTCCTCAGTTTTGGTCGAAAATGTAAAACCTTGAGCTAGTGTTTTATATTTTCAACCCAAACTGAGGAAGCGTGTTTTAACCAAAATGTACAGTTTGCTTAAAATTATTTTAAGATATTTCTCTTAAGTATTGTTACAGTACTATCTTTTTTCCTTTGTACTAGGTGGCTACCGCTTTGTGGTCCTGTTCTTCAACTGCATGTTGACATTTGGCTCGTACTTCTGTTTTGATATGCCCAGTGTGCTCCAAGATGAATTCACACAGGTAAATGAAACATATGGAAATGATAGGTTTTACCTTTAGTGCTAAATTATGTTTGGGTTCAGAAACTTCAAAGTTAACATTCAACAGTCCAAAACTTGTCTCATAGATGAAAACCAAATTGTTGTTCAAACATAACATTAACAGAGGAAAGCGAAAATAATAATACTGAATGGAATGTTTGTGCATGTTAAACATTTTAATGCTGTTTAAACTGGAAGAAGGGGCAAGAGCCTCATGGTTGATGTGTGGCTCATCACTGCTTGGAGAAGTAGCGGCCATATATTGGGCTCATCACTGCTTGGAGAAGTAGTGGCCATATATTGGGCTCATCACTGCTTGGAGAAGTAGTGGCCATATATTGGGCTCATCACTGCTTGGAGAAGTAGCGGCCATATAGTGTGGCTCATCACTGCTTGGAGAAGTAGCGGCCATATAGTGTGGCTCATCACTGCTTGGAGAAGTAGCGGCCATATAGTGTGGCTCATCACTGCTTGGAGAAGTAGTGGCCATATAGTGTGGCTCATCACTGCTTGGAGAAGTAGCGGCCATATAGTGTGGCTCATCACTGCTTGGAGAAGTAGCGGCCATATAGTGTGGCTCATCACTGCTTGGAGAAGTAGCGGCCATATAGTGTGGCTCATCACTGCTTGGAGAAGTAGCGGCCATATATTGGGCTCATCACTGCTTGGAGAAGTAGCGGCCATATAGTGTGGCTCATCACTGCTTGGAGAAGTAGCGGCCATATAGTGTGGCTCATCACTGCTTGGAGAAGTAGCGGCCATATAGTGTGGCTCATCACTGCTTGGAGAAGTAGCGGCCATATAGTGTGGCTCATCACTGCTTGGAGAAGTAGCGGCCATATAGTGTGGCTCATCACTGCTTGGAGAAGTAGCTGCCATATATTGGGCTCATCACTGCTTGGAGAAGTAGCGGCCATATAGTGTGGCTCATCACTGCTTGGAGAAGTAGCGGCCATATAGTGTGGCTCATCACTGCTTGGAGAAGTAGCGGCCATATAGTGTGGCTCATCACTGCTTGGAGAAGCAGCGGCCATATAGTGTGGCTCATCACTGCTTGGAGAAGTAGCGGCCATATAGCCCTGTCATGGAATTCAAACCATGTATCCTTCTGATCCAAGGTTGGAGACCTAGTCCACTTGACCAGGGGTTAACACCTTCAGCAAGCTGATAAGTGATGATGTCAACTGTGGGATGACACCATGCCCTGCTACAGATACAACAAGCCCTGTCTTGGTGTCCCCTGCTGAGAAACGTTAAGAATATTGCTAAAAACAGTGTCACACCTCTTGCACTTATAACTCTGTCCAGGGGCGGTCGGGTAGCCTAGTGGTTAAAGCGTTCGCTCGTCACACCGAAGACCCAGGTTCGATTCTCGACATGGGTACAATGTGTGAAGCCCATTTCTGGTGTCCCCCACCGTGATATTGCTGGAATATTGCTAAAAGCAGCGTAAAATCAAACTCACTCACACTATAACTCTGTCCAGATTGAAACTTGAATCCCATGTCATGCCTATTAATGGAACAATTTTCAGTCCAACAACTGTACCAACTCCACAGGAGGGAGTACATTTGATGCTGACTCCAGCAACATCACGTGCAACAACTGTACCGACTGTCTGGGCATGTCACAGGATGACTACAACCTGCTCTACGCTATCTACGCATGGACGTAAGGCACACAGAATATTGTGGTTTCTACTGAGTTGATAGCAAAATTAAAAATTGGAAAAGATTATGATTCTTGTATCCTATATGACACTCATAGTACCAGGTTTGCATTTGTTACAGGTTTCAACTGATTGTTCAATTCAGTCTCCATGCCAGTCTATGTAGTTTATTAGGAGAAATCAATTTGGGAAATTCTTTTGTTCTACACTGAAAGTAAGAAAGCTGTAGTTCATACATGTAAATGTCTCTGTCCAATTGGTGTTCTTTGAGGAATGTTATTGTAATTTGAAACTTCTGATCAATCAGGATCAATTATTTTTTTTGTCTTGGAAAGGATAAATCATGTGTTCCTATTGTAGTAGCTAAAATGCTCTTCTTAGGAATATTTTTTAAATAATTAAATTACCAATAAAAACGGTTTTATTGGTAATATCCATGTTTCCTGTTTTAGGAATGCTGTAGTTGTGATTGGTGCTGGATTCCTTATTGACAAACTGGGAAACAGAGGTAAGAGCAGTAACCATGGTAGCAAGAAGCCCCAGCACCTGTTTCTCATAGCAATGTTAGTGCTATGACTGTCACAGGCCGCTATTAGGAACTGTCAAGTTTCGTTCCCACTTCACATACATGTTTTCATCTTTCTGTATGTTGACGATCAAAGAATTAAACTCAGGCCAAGTCATTTGAAAGTTCAAACCCAGCTATGTTTGTTCGCTTAAGATAATTTACTTATGTGTACATATCTGTGGCTTAACGAACACTCAAATTACACAATGTCTCCATCTCGCACATGGCACCATCACAGTTAGAATTTGTCTTCAGCAACACATCATAAGAGGTGACTAATCGGGTGGTCAGACTCCCTGACTTGGTTGATGTATGTCATCATACGCAAATGGCGGTGATTGATGCTCATGATATCAATCACTGTGGTCTCTTGTCCAGAGTCCAGACTCACTTGTTTACAGACTGCCATCATATAGCTAGAATATTACCGAGAGCAGCATTACACAATAACAAACAAACCTACTACATCTAGACCTAGACTGGAGACATTCACCAGGCAGTTCAGCAAACCACTCTTTAACCTTGGTTTCAGGGTTCACACAGATTTAAAAAGTGCTTGAATTTAACCATGTCCGATGAAAAGTGATGACTAAGCACGGAACTCTGGGTAGGAAACCCGTGACAGAAGCTGGGCACAACGTTTGCTTCAAATTGTGTTTAAATCATGAGGAAGTGTGTTTTTAATCACACTTGGGTTTCAAAGTACCAATGTGTGCATGTAACCAAAGACAGAAACAAGACATGGTGCTACAGCTGCAGGAAGGAACCTGATGTAGGTAGGATGGGGGAAGTGACACTGAAGTCTCACAGACAAAGCAGTCGTCACCAGGTAACTTACAGTTATTGGTAGAGTTATATGTTCAGGATTCGGGTGTTGTTAAACAAAAAAGGATTCCTTGAAGACAAATGTTTTTACTTAAAAAGTGCTTGAATTTAGAGACCAAAGATCTGTGTGAACCCTGGATTTACATTCATTTGTTTCTTGTTTGTTTGTTCGTTGTTTCATGCCCCACTCAGCAATATTCCAGCTATATGACGCGGTCTGTAAACAATTGAGTATGGACCAGACAATCCAGTGATTGATATCATGAGCATCGATCCACGAAATTGGGATACAATGACATGCATCAACCAAGTCAGCTAGCCTGACCACCCGATCCCGTTAATTGCCTCTTACGACAAGCACAGTCGCCTTTGACAGCAAGCATGGGTTGCTGAAGACCTATTCCACCCCGGATCTTCATGGGTTGGATTTACGTTCTGAAAAGTGAAAAACACGATGATAACGCCAAGATACCATCCACCATTGCAACACCGGTCTCCCGAAACATGTCCGACCTTTGTGTAAACGTTGTTTCCTCTCCTAGTGGGTGTGTTTCTCTTCTCCTTCCTGTGTGTGGTCGGGTCGTGCACGTTCGCTGTCGGTGCCATGCTGAAAGGAACGTCTGCCATGTTGCCTGTTATGTTGTTGGGACGTCTGCTCTTCGGATCAGGAAACGGTTCTCTCACAAGTAGGTTTCACTCCACTCGGTATCTGAGTTCACTGTTCACTGGATCATGCAGTTTGGATATCATTTCACAGTACCTTTCAAACATTTGACCAAATATTAACTATTTGTTGAAGTTATTTACATACATATTTGTCTCCAAATTCATTTAGCATTGTTTAGAAGCTGCTAGTATCACAGTAATGAGATGGTATTGTGGCATATGGCAGTATTAGTCACCCGTCCATCACGTTTCGTTTTCAGAGCAGAACTAAAAAAACCATGAGAGTTATCTTAACCAAACTTGGCACATAGATAGTGAGTGAACTGGTGCATTTTGATAGTTTGGGATTTTTGAAAAAATTATTTTTCTAGTTTACATAGCAACGATTTTGACTTAAACTGAAAATGGCGATAGTGCTGACTTACTCTATATAGTCAGGTAATTATGGCCAGCTGAATATGATCTGACAATTGAACTTCAGCCTTTATGTTTGAAAATGACAGCTACTTGCCTGTTCTCAATACGAAAAATTCTGAACTGTATTCTCCACGGACTTCTCTCTGAAATAATACTGAACAAAATTTGAACTGACTTATGTGCAGGATTTGATATTTTCAGGAAAAAAATGCTCACCTCCACATGGTTCTGATATTCATCAAGTAGCACAGGCGATGGAAACAATGTAGAACAGGTGATTCTGTGTTTCAGTCGTACAGAACAAGATCACGGCCTTCTGGTTCAAGAACAAGGAGTTAGCCATGGCGTTTGGATTCACATTGGCCTTCTCGCGTCTTGGAAGTGTACTGAACTTCTTCTTGACGCAGTCATTCTCTCAGACGTATGGACTCTCATGGACTCTCTGGGGGGGTTAGGAGTCCTTGATCTCGTCTTATAGGGTTTAAAACACAAGTTGATGAACTAGATCTAACTTATACATCTGACTTTTTGTCGTCATTACTTCAGGTATGATGGTATTAAGGACAGGTTTTCACAAGATGTGTTCATGTTGTAAATATGTGCCTGTTCTTTGAAAGATTGACAGGTTTATTTGGAGCAAAGGGTTGTGTTATTTCATGTGGAAATAATTTCAGTACCTAAGGCTTAATAGAATAACAGAATTGGTTCTCAGGCAATGGTTTTTGACAACATAGTGAGGGCGGGCGGTGTCTTTTCTTTTTTAGGTTGTTCAAACTAGTATGTAACTACCTAAATAAACATTTGTGTAACCAAATAAAAAGTTGTGTACAATCAACCTGGGAAAGGGCCTCCCTACCTAAATGTATTCCTTGATGAGTAAAATACTGGAATACAGTATTTGACTACTGTTGGACTTGGAATATTTAAGGATTTTTAGTTGTTTTTTAATGGAAATAAAAATGAAAGATGCTGTTAACTTTGTGATGATGGGGGCGGTGCCTGAGAACCAAGATTATTATTTTTATTAGTCTAATGAAGCACAAAGATTACTGGAAAACATTTGAAAAAATATTTGAAATGCTTTTTACTTGAAAGGAGCCTGTCGTGTTGACCATCATATTTTTTTCCCTCCCAAGGTGCCATGTTGTGTGGCCTGGGCTTTGTGTCGGCCATTATTGTCAGCTTCCTGGACATGTATGGCGTCAAGCAACTCGGAGACGATGCCAGCATGAAAACCGAATCCAAGAAACTGGTAAGTTGATCAACCTGAAGCTATTTGTCGTTGTTGAGAGTATCGATTTGGTTATCATTAGGGTAATGTAGAACAAGGACTGGTTAATATAAACGATGTACAACATAGGGTAAATACACACAATACACTACATAGCTAACTACACACAATGTATTACAAGAGGTGAACACACAATACACTACATAGCTAACTACACACAATGTATTACAAGAGGTGAACACACAATACAATACATAACTAACTACACACAATGTACTACAAGAGGTGAACACACAATACACTACATAGCTAACTACACACAATGTATTACAAGAGGTGAACACACAATACACTACATAACTAACTACACACAATGTACTACAAGAGGTGAACACACAATACACTACATAGCTAACTACACACAATGTATTACAAGAGGGGAACACACAACACACTTCATAGCTAACTACACACAATGTACTATAAGAGGTGAACACACAATACATTACATAGCTAACTACACACAATGTATTACAAGAGGTGAACACACAATACACTACATAGCTAACTACACACAATGTACTACAAGAGGTGAACACACAATACACTACATAGCTAACTACACACAATGTATTACAAGAGGTGAACACACAATACACTACATAGCTAACTACACACAATGTACTATAAGAGGTGAACACACAATACACTACATAGCTAACTACACACAATGTATTACAAGAGGTGAACACACAATACACTACATAGCTAACTACACACAATGTACTATAAGAGGTGAACACACAATACACTACATAGCTAACTACACACAATGTATTACAAGAGGTGAACACACAATACACTACATAACTACACACAATGTATTACAAGAGGTGAACACACAATATACTACATAGGTAACTACACACAATGTACTATAAGAGGGGAACACACAATACACTACATAGCTAACTACACACAATGTACTACAAGAGGTGAACACACAATACACTACATAGCTAACTACACACAATGTACAAAAAGAGGTGAACACACAATACACTACATAGCTAACTACACACAATGTACTATAAGAGGGGAACACACAATAGGTCATGTGTTGACAGTAGCTGTGTGCAGTAATGTCCATAACATACGGGAATTTGATGTGAAGAGTTGTGTCCCTTAGTTGTGTCAGGACTCTCTAATCATGGGTTTGAATCCAAATCAGGACCCTTTATTTGCCAGCACCATACCAGCTTTCATGGATTTGTAGTAAAGTCTATGGGATTCCTCGTACAGTATGGTGACACACGTACAGTAACTGAGTTCACCCCACTCACCCACTCAGCCTCGATTGTTCTTGGACTATTGTGTAATACCCACACATTTCTTCTGACACCATCTTCCTGAGGCAAGGGAGTTAACTGACTGAAAAAGTCCAGTTTCCGCGCTTGCCAAACTAGGCTGGGATTCCTGGGACTAACGAGTCAATGCATAGTTCAGTCAAACTAGCGTAACGAAATTGAGATCCGGTTCATAAACAACATGGATTTCAATGTGCAGATTTCATTCGACTGCAGGATTTGCAAAGCATGTGTGCCGCCAACTGAGCGTCGAGAGATGTTTTGCAAATCGTGTAATCAAGGTGCTCAAGTGATTTGATGCCCTTCGCGAGGTAAGGCCAGTTTTATTACAATATTGATCTCTGATTATAGTTCAGATCATCTTGACTGGATGCCGCCATTTTGTTAGAAGCAAATACAGGTGATATAAGAGGTGGAATCTGATTGGTCAATAGGAGGGACATAGCAGGGACAAAACTAGTAATAGCCACTGGTTGCGCTACAATCAAGCCTGGAAATTCCAGCTTAGTTCAGCAAGCGTGGAAACTGGACGTTTATAGTCAGTTAACTCCCTTGCCTCGGGATGATGTCTGACTCTCACTGTATTGTTGTTTCAGAGGTTCACCGATATCCGGTACTTCTCACTGTCTTACTGGCTGGTGGCGCTGGCTATCATGTTCTTCTACAACGGAGTCTTTCCATTTGTGGCTGATGCCAGGTGAGTTGACGAGCTTATTACCTGTACAGTGTTCTATAGAAGTGTCTTGCTGTGGACGAGCTTATTACCTGTACAGTGTTCTATAGAAGTGTCTTGCTGTAGACGAGCTTATTACCTCTACAGTGTTCTATAGAAGTGTCTTGCTGTGGACGAGCTTATTACCTGTTCAGTGTTCTATAGAAGTGTCTTGCTGTGGACGAGCTTATTACCTGTACAGTGTTCTATAGAAGTGTCTTGCTTTAAATGAATATAAGTATCCTTTGCTATGAACATTGGTAGTAGCAGTGTTCTCTACATTGCGTCCTTTGAAGTCTTTGATAGACATTGCTTCCATTGATGTGATAAAAAGGAATCAAACTCAAAAGGGAATAAAGACTATGGCATCCTTAGTTTGTGGGTTATTTTCAGATATGTCATTAGTATGTTATTTGTTTCAGTAAATTTATCTACGACAAGTATGGCACACAGTATAATTTGAACCAGAAAACCTCGTCGTACATCGCAGGCTCAATCTACGACGTGTCCATGTTGTTGTCTCCATTCCTGGGTGGCATCATCGTAAGTCATCTCCATGTATCCCCATCTCAGGGCTCAGGTGTATCTCTGCCCTACACAGGGCTCAGGTGTGTCTCCTCCCCACCACAGGGCTCAGGTGTGTCTCCTCCCCATCTCAGGGCTCAGATGTGTCTCTTCCCCACCACAGGGCTCAGATGTGTCTCCTCCCCACCACAGGGCTCAGGTGTGTCTCCTCCCCACCACAGGGCTCAGGTGTGTCTCCTCCCCACCACAGGGCTCAGATGTGTCTCCTCCCCACCACAGGGCTCAGGTATGTCTCCTCCCCACCACAGGCCTCAAGTGTGTCTCCTCCCCACCACAGGGCTCAGGTGTGTCTCTGCCCTACACAGGGCTCAGGTGTGTCTCCTCCCCACCACAGGGCTCAAGTGTGTCACCCCCCACCACAGGGCTCAGGTGTGTCTCCTCCCCACCACAGGCCTCAAGTGTGTCTCCTCCCCACCACAGGCCTCAAGTGTGTCTCCTCCCCACCATAGGGCTCAGGTGTGTCACCCCCCACCACAGGCCTCAAGTGTGTCACCCCCCACCACAGGGCTCAGGTGTGTCTCCTCCCCACCACAGGCCTCAGGTGTGTCTCCTCCCCACCACAGGCCTCAAGTGTGTCACCCCCCACCACAGGGCTCAGGTGTGTCTCCTCCCCACCACAGGGCTCAGGTGTGTCTCCTCCCCACCACAGGGCTCAGATGTGTCTCCTCCCCACCACAGGGCTCAGGTCATCTCCTCCCCACCACAGGGTTCAGGTGTGTCTCCTCCCCACCACAGGGCTCAGGTGTGTCTCCTCCCCACCACAGGGCTCAGGCGTATCTCCTCCCCACCACAGGGCTCAGGTGTGTCTCCTCCCCACCACAGGGCTCAGGTGTGTCTCCTCCCCACCACAGGGCTCAGGTCATCTCCTCCCCACCACAGGGCTCCGGCGTATCTCCTCCCCACCACAGGGCTCAGGTGTGTCTCCTCCCCACCACAGGGCTCAGGTGTGTCTCCTCCCCACCACAGGGCTCAGGCGTATCTCCTCCCCACCACAGGGCTCAGGTCATCTCCTCCCCACCACAGGGTTCAGGTGTGTCTCCTCCCCACCACAGGGCTCAGGTCATCTCCTCCCCACCACAGGGCTCAGATGTGTCTCCTCCCCACCACAGGGCTCAGGTGTGTCTCCTCCCCATCACAGGGCTCAGGTGTGTCTCCTCCCCACCACAGGCCTCAAGTGTGTCACCCCCCACCACAGGGCTCAGGTATGTCACCCCCCACCACAGGGCTCAGGTGTGTCTCCTCCCCACCACAGGGCTCAGGTGTGTCTCCTCCCCACCACAGAGCTCAGGTGTGTCTCCTCCCAACCACAGGGCTCAGGTGTGTCTCCTCCCCACCACAGGGCTCAGGTGTGTCTCCTCCCCATCTCAGGGCTCAGGTGTGTCTCCTCCCCACCACAGAGCTCAGGTGTGTCTCCTCCCCACCACAGGGCTCAGGTGTGTCTCCTCCCCACCACAGGGCTCAGGTGTGTCTCCTCCCCACCACAGGGCTCAGGTGTGTCTCCTCCCCACCACAGGCCTCAAGTGTGTCACCCCCCACCACAGGGCTCAGGTGTGTCTCCTCCCCACCACAGGGCTCAGGTCATCTCCTCCCCACCACAGGGCTCAGGTCATCGCCATGTATCTCACCACATAATTTAGTTACTACAGTTGAGCCTTGTGTCAAAAAGTTTGAGTTATCCGGGCTTCAAGACATCGCGGCAATTTTATGCTTAATTTGGATACTTGGGACGACCAAACCAGTACGCAACACTTGGGAATTTGACACAAGTGTTACTAGTCAGTGAGGTCTGCCATCATTGGATTGCCCGCAGCACAATTTAGTAGTCTCGTGCTAGCAGACTAGGGTGGATTTTGAAGCCTGCAGAACCCCTTGGTAAGAGCTGATGTATGAGTATTGGGTGGCTACCATATGTGATCTTACTGATCATTTGTCAGCCACTTGGTTATGTACTGGCAGCCATGAAGGCCCGGAACACTGAGAACACCCACTCACACACCTACAGTCTAGAGCAGGCTGTTTCCTCCCTCACTTCCTAGACTACACAAATACAGATTGTGGCTGAGCCTGCTACTGTAACATACATGTAGTTAAACATAGTACATGTTTAACAATCTCGCTTTCTGATAGGCCAGTCACTGTCTTATAGCCTACAAGTTTGTTAGCTGGCCTGTACGAATATCATGGCGTCATCAGGTTAGGGGTGACGTCACTTTCTTGTCACAATTGACTCTGTTCATGCAGACATTGAAATATTGATGGTCATGAAATAATCTAACTGTCACACATTATGGCACCAAATATATGTAACATGGGCACTATATATACTGTATTTCAGGATGTGTTTGGGAAGCGTGGCTACCTGGCCATGTTGTGTGCGGTGTTCTCCATCCCCGTGTTCGCGCTGCTGGCCTTCAGCTCAGTGTATCCCCTGGTGGCGACCTTGTGTTTCGGGGTGACCTACTCTGTAGCGGCTGTAAGTATGTTCGTCCAGGAACACAGTTTACTGGACACAATGTGAGATGTGAATGATCCCCAACAGAAAACCGTCTGTGTCACATGTGCAGAAATGTCTGTTTCTGAAGTTCTTCAATGTAAAAAGTAAAAATCTACGATCAAGTGTTTGTAAACAGCTTGCAAATTTGTAAAATTTATCCTATCTCATGCTATACGTTTCATCTTTCTTCTCCGATCCTTGTGTGGAAACACTCTTAAAATAAGTTTGCAGCTTAAAAAAAACACCACACCCAAACACATTCAGCCGTAACCATGGTTACCATCACCATCAATGGCTTTTGCAACATGTGAGACCTGTGCAGCCTGATCACGTGACGTCCCCAGCTTACTCTCTATCTTTGAGTGTACAGGCTGGTGTAACTGTGATGAGGGGATGGTTGGATGGGAGTTTTATAAATATCCACTTTATTAGAAATTTCCAATATTTCCTTCTAGAACAACAGTAATGAGATGAATACTATTATGAGTGCCTAGATAATTGTATGTGTGACTACATGATGATGGCGTGATCACGTCCCCCTGACTCAACAGCTCGGCCAGTCCCTGTACTGTAGATTCTACAACCTTGAATGCAGTAAGTGATAATTTTGTCACTTTTCAGGCTAGTCTGTGGCCATCAATTCCACTTGTGGTAACCCAGGCAACGGTTGGCACAGCAATGGGCCTCACTACATCTATTCAGATGATTGGTATCGGCGTTTCCAATCTCGTTGTAGGCTCAATTCTTGGGACAGAAAAACAGTAAGTAAATACAAATAACAGTTAAAACGTCCTGAAAACTGTACCAGGGTTATCTCCCTTTGTCAGTGTGAGTGCAGAGAATGTATTTGTGTTGTTTATTTGTTGTTTTATGCCGCACTCAGCAATATTGTCATCTGTTAATAATTAAGCCTGGACCAAACAATCTAGTACATCATGAGCATCCATCTAAGCAACTGGGAAACGATGACATGCATCTGTCAGCGAGCCTGACCACCCGATCTTGTTAGTCACCTCTTATGACATGCATAGGGTGTTGACAAAAATTCTTATCAGGACTACAAACGTTCCTTCACAAGGCTGCTTCCAATTACGTTGTCTGCAGTACGAAGGGACTGCTGCCAGTCATGTGCTGGCAATGAAAGACACAATAGGTATGTTATTAGCAGGGCGTGCGATGGAGAATTTAGGTCCCAATCCTAACCCCAGGGTTTTACTCTCCAGTATCCTTTGTTCCGAAGGACCGCGGCAAACTTCATCACAAAACCGGTCATGCACTTTGTTCATTGACAAGGGATAGTTTTGCATTGAAAACTACATACAGGCTCATGCAGACCCACATACTTTGGTGAAACATCTCAAGTTCGAATGTTTGCAAATAAGTCTTCTTCCAGCCATTTATACCAACATCTTTTAGTCAACATCATGAGCATCAATCTACGCAATCGGGATACGATGACATGCATCTGTCAGTGAACCTGACCCCCCAGTTAACGTTAGTCACCTCTTATGACAAGCATCTGTCAGTGAACCTGACCACCCGATTCCGTTAGTCACCTCTTATGACAAGTATAGGTTGCTGACCAAAGTCTAATCTGGATCTTCGGACAGACATATTATGATATTTATGAGTTTGTATGAAGCATAGTTTTTATCCTGACATTCCGTCCAAGGTTCTTGATACTGTGGCACCTGCCTGTTTGGTGCCCACCTTATTTGAACCTATTGACATGACTGTCACAGGGAAGGTGATATGAAACAACCAAGGTCAATCGTGGGACCAGAGTGGCTGCTAAGTTTGAAACCCTTCAAGGATTTGTGAAGGCCAGCCTAGATATTCAGTCCCAATTGCACCTTTTAGCCATTGGGTATTAGATTGTTGATGGTCCAATATGATTTTTGCTCATGGGTTACCCTGCACATCTGTGACACATGACGCTTTTAATCCACCAATAGCTGACTTCTGTCATATCATTGAACAATACTCTTCACAGCAACATTAGACCCGTTAAGATCCGGGGTAGAATAGGTCTTCAGCAACCCATGCTTGCAGTAAAAGGCGACTATGCTTGTCGTAAAAGGCGACTAGCGGGATCGAGTGGTCAGACCAGCTGACTTGGTTGATGCATGTCATCGTATCCCAATTGCGTGGATCGATGCTCATGATGTCAATCATTGGATTGTCTTGTCCAGACCCGATTATTTACAGACCGCCGTCATAATAGCTGGAATATTGCTGAGTGCGCTGTTAAGCAACAAACAAAAACAGCAACATTAAACTCAATTCTATGATACAGTTTGGGCATTGTGACAGGAAGGTTTGGCCATTCGTGGCCATTCACAAAATTATGTCAGTCCTGGTATTCCTCATGACTGTCAATCATATTCCTAGTGACTGTTAATCATATTCCTCGTGACTGTCAATCATATTCCTCGTGACTGTATCATTCCTTGTATTCCCAGTGACTGTCAGGTGTATTCCTTGTATTCCCAGTGACTGTCAGGTGTATTCCTTGTATTCCCAGTGACTGTCAGGTGTATTCCTTGTATTCCCAGTGACTGTCAGGTTTATTTTTTTTATTTACCAGTGACTGTCAGGTGTATTCCCAGTGACTGTCAGGTGTATTCCTTGTATTCCCAGTGACTGTCCGGTGTATTCCTTGTATTCCCAGTGACTGTCAGGTGTATTCCTTGTATTCCCAGTGACTGTCAGGTGTATTCCTTGTATTCCCAGTGACTGTCAGGTGTATTCCTTGTATTCCCAGTGACTGTCAGGTGTATTCCTTGTATTCCCAATGAATGTCAGGTTTATGTTTTTTTATTTACCAGTGACTGTCAGGTGTATTCCTTGTATTCCCAATGACTGTCAGGTGTATTCCTTGTATTCCCAGTGACTGTCAAGTGTATTCCTTGTATTCCCAGTGACTGTCATGTTTATTTTTTTTATTTACCAGTGACTGTCAGGTGTATTCCTTGTATTCCCAGTGACTGTCAGGTGTATTCCTTGTATTCCCAGTGACTGTCAGGTGTATTCCTTGTATTCCCAGTGACTGTCAGGTTTATTTTTTTTATTTACCAGTGACTGTCAGGTGTATTCCTTGTATTCCCAGTGACTGTCAGGTGTATTCCTTGTATTCCCAGTGACTGTCAGGTTTATTTTTTTTATTTACCAGTGACTGTCAGGTGTATTCCTTGTATTCCCAGTGACTGTCAGGTGTATTCCTTGTATTCCCAGTGACTGTCAGGTTTATTTTTTTTATTTACCAGTGACTGTCAGGTGTATTCCTTGTATTCCCAGTGACTGTCAGGTGTATTCCTTGTATTCCCAGTGACTGTCAGGTGTATTCCTTGTATTCCCAGTGACCGTCAGGTGTATTCCTTGTATTCCCAGTGACTGTCCGGTGTATTCCTTGTATTCCCAGTGACTGTCAGGTTTATTTTTTTTATTTACCAGTGACTGTCAGGTGTATTCCTTGTATTCCCAGTGACTGTCAGGTGTATTCCTTGTATTCCCAGTGACTGTCAGGTGTATTCCTTGTATTCCCAGTGACTGTCAGGTGTATTCCTTGTATTCCCAGTGACTGTCAGGTTTATTTTTTTTATTTACCAGTGACTGTCAGGTGTATTCCTTGTATTCCCAGTGACTGTCAGGTGTATTCCTTGTATTCCCAGTGACTGTCAGGTTTATTTTTTTTATTTACCAGTGACTGTCAGGTGTATTCCTTGTATTCCCAGTGACTGTCAGGTGTATTCCTTGTATTCCCAGTGACTGTCAGGTTTATTTTTTTTATTTACCAGTGACTGTCAGGTGTATTCCTTGTATTCCCAGTGACTGTCAGGTGTATTCCTTGTATTCCCAGTGACTGTCAGGTGTATTCCTTGTATTCCCAGTGACCGTCAGGTGTATTCCTTGTATTCCCAGTGACTGTCAGGTGTATTCCTTGTATTCCCAGTGACTGTCAGGTTTATTTTTTTTATTTACCAGTGACTGTCAGGTGTATTCCTTGTATTCCCAGTGACTGTCAGGTGTATTCCTTGTATTCCCAGTGACTGTCAGGTGTATTCCTTGTATTCCCAGTGACTGTCATGTGTATTCCTTGTATTCCCAGTGACCGTCAGGTGTATTCCTTGTATTCCCAGTGACTGTCAGGTGTATTCCTTGTATTCCCAGTGACTGTCAGGTTTATTTTTTTTATTTACCAGTGACTGTCAGGTGTATTCCTTGTATTCTCAGTGACTGTCAGGTGTATTCCTTGTATTCCCAGTGACTGTCAGGTGTATTCCTTGTATTCCCAGTGACTGTCAGGTGTATTCCTTATATTCCCTGTGACTGTCAGGTTTATTTTTTTTATTTACCAGTGACTGTCAGGTGTATTCCTTGTATTCCCAGTGACTGTCAGGTGTATTCCTTGTATTCCCAGTGACTGTCAGGTGTATTCCTTGTATTCCCAGTGACTGTCAGGTGTATTCCTTGTATTCCCAGTGACTGTCAGGTGTATTCCTTGTATTCCCAGTGACTGTCAGGTTTATTTTTTTTATTTACCAGTGACTGTCAGGTGTATTCCTTGTATTCCCAGTGACTGTCAGGTGTATTCCTTGTATTCCCAGTGACTGTCAGGTGTATTCCTTGTATTCCCAGTGACTGTCAGGTGTATTCCTTATATTCCCTGTGACTGTCAGGTTTATTTTTTTTATTTACCAGTGACTGTCAGGTGTATTCCTTGTATTCCCAGTGACTGTCAGGTGTATTCCTTGTATTCCCAGTGACTGTCAGGTGTATTCCTTGTATTCCCAGTGACCGTCAGGTGTATTCCTTGTATTCCCAGTGACTGTCATTCCTTGTATTCCCAGTGACTGTCAGGTGTATTCCTTGTATTCCCAGTGACTGTCAGGTGTATTCCTTGTATTCCCAATGACTGTCAGGTGTATTCCTTGTATTCCCAATGACTGTCAGGTGTATTCCTTGTATTCCCAGTGACTGTCAGGTTTATTTTTTTTATTTACCAGTGACTGTCAGGTGTATTCCTTGTATTCCCAGTGACTGTCAGGTGTATTCCTTGTATTCCCAGTGACTGTCAGGTGTATTCCTTGTATTCCCAGTGACTGTCAGGTGTATTCCTTGTATTCCCAGTGACTGTCAGGTGTATTCCTTGTATTCCCAGTGACTGTCAGGTGTATTCCTTGTATTCCCAGTGACTGTCAGGTGTATTCCTTGTATTCCCAGTGACTGTCAGGTGTATTCCTTGTATTCCCAGTGACGGTCAGGTGTATTCCATGTGTGTTGCAGCACATCCACAGCGACCATCTTGCTGCGCTGGAAGTATGTGATGATCTTCCTGCTGGCCAACGTCCTTGCCTGTGTCACCACCACCTTCTTCCTGAACGTCATCGATAAGAGGAAGGTAAGCCCTTATTCTGTGTCGTCTTGGCACACCATAATTGAAGCTTATTTTGCTAGGACCCTTAAGCTATCACACACCATGCATTTCATGCTTTTTCTTCGATCCTGGTGTGGAAACGATCCCGAAACAAGTTTCCAGCTTCAACAAACGCTTCACCCAAACATATCCCAGCCATCACCATGGTTACCACCATCACCACTGCATGTTTCCAGCTTACTTGTTCTCTTTCTTGTTACCTTGGTGTGTAGACTTTTTATTTGAAGAGAATTATATTATATTTTGATTATTTTTTCTCTCTACACATCTGACCAGAGAGGTGATTATGGATAACAAGACATGTCCTACGAGTGCAATCGAACGTTTTCAGCTCAAGACCAACACTCCATATGTTGTGATTGTCATGACCGTTGCAAGACCTCAGAACAATGTCACCAGTGCAAGCTCCTCTCTGAGGCAGACCTCTTACTCCACAGTCGTAAATGTACGAAGAGGGACACGGAGAGACGGTCTAAGATGAACACGGACCTTCAGCTGCTCTAAGAAACACAAACGAACCAAACTAAAAGCAGCTGAATCGGATGCCCAATCTTCTGAAAAGGAACAAGTCGTTGACTACACCTACATTTGTTTTGGAGGATGACGTGGCATCAGATTCCTTCCTCATCATGCTCATTGATGGTTTTCCTACAAAGTCATCTCCCAAACCCTGATCATTCGTGGTCACAGCTAGCAAGACGATTGCCACTACGCCGAATAAAGATCATCGCGCAGTGCAAAAAAAGGACTTGTTGCTACTGATTTCTAAGATCCTTCGTGGAACAGGATGCCATGGTCAAGGCTCTAGAGGTTCCAAGTCCACCGGCACCAGATCGGTTACCTTCACCCAGGGAAAGGTCACAGGAGAGTCGGCTAAAGGAGCTGACTCCTCTAAGTGACCCAGTGACAGTTGGGTACCACTGGGAACTTCTGCCCCGATCGTACCACTATACAATGTACGAGCTGACTCCTCTAAGTGACCCAGTGACAGTTGGGTACCACTGGGAACTTCTGCCCCGATCGTACCACTATACAATATACATGTAGGTGGAAGGCTTGGGTTTCTGCAGCCAGCTGGGGGATTCTGGGAGACCCCTACGTCACAAGGCTCCTGACTGAGGGCTACAAACGTCACTTCACAACGCTGCTTCCAGTAACAAAGTCTCTGCTATGAAGGGACTATGCTGCCAGTCAAGTGCCGACCCTGAAAGACACAATATATTTATGTTATTAGCCAGGCATGCGATGGAGAATTTAGGTCCCAATCCTAACCCCAGGGTTTTACTCTCCAGTATCCTTTGTTCCGAAGGACCGCGGCAAACTTCATCACAAAACCGTTCATGCAGTTTGTTCATAGACAAGGGATAGTTTTGCATTGAAAACTACATACAGGCGCATGCAGACCCGCATACTTTGGAGAAACATCTCAAGTTTAAATGTTTGCCAGTAAGTCTTCTTGCAGTTATTTCTACTGACACCATCATCTTTTCGTCGACACCTGGTTGGGGAGCGCAACTCTTGGATCAACAGACAGCAAGGCGCTGGTCTGCAGACTAAAGAAATCTACACATCAACAACCTGGAGCTTAGGGCTGAAGTTCTACAAGCCTCAGTGCATCAGTGGTATGGTACATCCAGAAAATGGGATCAACAAAGTCCGCATCACTTCTACGAACAACAATCCAGTCCAACTGGTCGCCTCGCTTCACATCCAGGTTCGAGAGGGGCACATTCCGGGGATCATGAATGTAATAGCAGAGGCTCTTTCCCGGCCCGATCAACCATCCCTGACAGAGTGGCAGCTACATTCAGAGTTTTTTCACTGGATTTGCAAGATCTTCCACACCCCAGAATTTGATCTCTTTGTGACCCGATTCAATGCTCAGCTACCGAGATTCATCTCCCCCCACACCAAACCCTCAGGTGTGGGATCTCATGGGAAGCACTCAACACTTACACATACCCGCCGCCAGGCCTTCTATCTCAAGTGTTGCACAAGTTGATGGACACCAAACAACTTTGCCCACTTTTTGTCCCACCCTTCTGGCCACCAAGAAGTTGGTTCACCATCGTCGTAAATGTCACAGATCAAAGACACCATCGTCGTAAATGTCACAGATCAAAGACACCATCGTCGTAAATGTCACAGATCAAAGACACCATCGTCGTAAATGTCACAGATCAAAGACACCATCGTCGTAAATGTCACAGATCAAAGACACCATCTTCGTAAATGTCACAGAACAAAGACACCATCGTCGTAAATGTCACAGATCAAAGACACCATCGTCGTAAATGTCACAGATCAAAGACACCATCGTCGTAAAAGTCACAGAACAAAGACACCATCGTCGTAAATGTCACAGATCAAAGACACCATCGTCGTAAATGTCACAGATCAAAGACACCATCGTCGTAAATGTCACAGATCAAAGACACCATCGTCGTAAATGTTACAGATCAAAGACACCATCGTCGTAAAAGTCACAGAACAAAGACACCATCGTCGTAAATGTCACAGATCAAAGACACCATCGTCGTAAATGTCACAGATCAAAGACACCATCGTCGTAAAAGTCACAGAACAAAGACACCATCGTCGTAAATGTCACAGATCAAAGACACCATCGTCGTAAATGTCACAGATCAAAGACACCATCGTCGTTAATGTCACAGATCAAAGACACCATCGTCGTAAATGTCACAGATCAAAGACACCATCGTCGTAAATGTCACAGATCAAAGACACCATCGTCGTAAATGTCACAGATCAAAGACACCATCGTCGTAAATGTCACAGATCAAGGACACCATCGTCTACCCCTATGAACAGCCCCACTCGGGCCAGCTACATCCACCTCCGGACACTATCCATCTGTGTCTGATGCATCCCTAGAAATCTTTGATCTTTAAGGGATATTCTCATAAAGTGGCTTAAAGCCATTCGTCACCACTCGCCCCTTTCCGTAACCTGCAAGAAGACTCGTCCCCCTATCGATGAATGTTATGTGCGAAAATACGACAAACTAATCAGAATGGGCGTATGATTTCAAGTACTTCGTCAAAGAATCCCTCAGAAATATTTTTTGATCTTGCATCTAAAATTATACCCAAGACACAGTTAAATGTGTTCAATCATACTGTATAATTCTGTACGTCCCGATGTGCTTTAAATTGCATCTGAAATATATATAATATATGGGGAAATATATGTGAACCATTATGCAACGAATAGACAATTGTTTTAGGTATGCCCGTTTGCGCTTAGACGGAACCCGGTCGCATAAATGTCCATGAGAGGGACACAAGTCGCTATTCGGCTTGTCCCAAAATAACACGAGTTGGTCACGAATGGCTTAAACCATATCCGATGCGCATCATACCTCCACGAAGGTTCTTTATGATCATGAGTGGAAGGCTTTCGAAGGTAAGTGCAAGTCTCAAGACATTCACTCCCCGACCACAGCAGCTGAATACCTTAAGCACTTACAAACTTCTTGGAAGCTGAAGGGATCTACACTCGCTATTTACTTGGCGCTATGAACTAAGTATTCGTCACAACCATGGCATCGAAGATTGCAGAACTGCACTACATAGCAACTGAACGTTATCGTCGATAGTGAAAGGTTGTTTCTAGAAGTCAGACACAGTGTTTGCCTCAGACTCCCTGAGGAACATCCCGGTCTCAGACGTACCACTTGTTCTGGCTCAACAACTGACAGCAGCCTGTCAGCAAAGATGGTTTGATACCAGCATCTGGTGGGACCCCGTGTCGTATAGTGTACATACAGAAATAGATACTGAAGTCCATTCGACTTTGTTTGTTGTTTCTTACAAATCAGGTTCCCAGACTTGAATTCTCAAAGAAGGAAAAGAATATTCGTCTGTAAAGATGTATGTCTTTAACATCGAAAGTGGCCATAAGGTGCAGTCGTTTTGACGGTGTCCCAACCTTCTACCTGCTAACCTCTGTCTACAGGAAATGTTAGTCTCAGAAGGGTATTACTCGTATGGGTATTGTCGTTCATTCCTCTTCTCCTTTTAACAATGCAATCGTGGATAGTTTTAATGAAATGGAAAAAGATATACCAAGCTGTTCCGCCTTACATCTTAGAGTGTGTGTGGGAGGCAGTCTTGAAGGGATGATTCACTCTCTCTCGAGTTGTTTATCTTTTTATTTTCTCTTCACGTTCTAGCGTACTCAATCACTGCATTTGAAGTTGATAGCTATAGCAAAGCGTATAAGGGATGCCAAGCTGTTACGCCTTACGTCCATCAGACGTATGAGTGAGGGCTTGAGGCTTGAAACACTTTACTGTTGAGGGGAAGCCGTGGGATATATGCACAGTGTGAGATAGGATCATTTTTAAAAATTGAATTTTTTACAATAATTGTTTATTTATTTTGTATAGGGAATGTCCAGTTTTAATACAATAAATTGTATATTTATAATACTTAATCCTATCTCACACGCTTAACGCCCACCCAACCATCCCCACATCACAGTTACACCAGCCTGTAAGCTCTATGAAAGAGAAGGAGTAAGCTGGGAAATTCATGTGTTCAGGCAGCGCAGGAATCTTGCAGTAAACAAGCCATTGGTGGTGGTGGTGGTGGTGGTAACCATGGTGACTGCTGGGATGTGTTTCGGTTAGGTGATTTTTGAAGGTGGAAACTTGTTTTGGGATCATTTTCACACCAGGATCGAAGAAGAAGGATGAAATGCATAGTGTGAGATAGGATAAGTATTGTTAATATACAATTTATTGTTAAATTTTCAAGTTTGATGATGCTTTTCACCACCTTAATCAGCCTGTGTCTAATCAGTATATTAGGAACTAAGCACTTTGAATTTCTTTACAAAATTATATATGTATATGTTCTAGAAAGTCCAGTAAAAAGGGGTTTTCCAAGTTTTACTCCAAACTATAAATTGTGGATGTCCTGAAACTTAATGTGATGTGGAAACCAGAACAACATTTCAGTTACATTCAGAAACAAATTGTATGTCTTAACGCAGTGGCAGGAAGTATGTAGTGTATAACAAACAAAACAGATCCCAGAAGACTGAAAGGTCGATCCCCCTACAACCATCCCCCCCTACAACCATCCCCCCCTGACCGATTCCCTCTCTCCAGGGTGGGATGCTGAACCTGAGCCGCAAGCAGAAGTTGTCCCTGGCCCGACGTCTGCAGGAGGAGGAGGATGTGGATGCTGATGAGGAGGTGGCCCCGGTGTACAGTGAGAGGGACCCCCTCCTTGGCAAGAACACCATCAACTGATCCCACACTCCTGGGTCTGTGGGATGTTCATAGGATGAACGTAGTTCTCAACTGTCTCCGCGGATGTAACAAGCAGCTGTTGAATACATAACACTTTTTTATGGATAGCAACTTTTTTTATTCTTTGTACGACATTTCAGAACTACTTCTTGCTCCTTTATCAGATGAATTCACCTTTTTTGAGACAGTAGTCATCAGGTGAATTCAGCTGATGAAGGAGCAAGAAGTAGCTCTGAAATGTCGTACAAAGAATAAAAGAAGTTGCTATCCATAAAAAAGTGTCATGTATTCATGTTCTACCAAACTTCTAAATGCATATCAAAGACTCAAAGCCGCTGCTGGATCAGGCGGACGTAGAATAGGTTGATAACACAAAAGTAACTGAATATTAATCACAAATATTGTGCAAGTATAACTATTTGTTTCAAATGTCCAGTTTTAAATGCATTATCTGACTTAAAATACAGCAAAATACAACCAAATACTGAGTCATCAGATTGAAAATACAGCCTGAAAAGTAAAATAAATCAATAAATAAACGATATATATGCAGCACAAACATGCTGCATGGAAATTCCATGCAGTACAATCGTAATACATGAGAATCTGTAACTTCGTGCTTTGATATCTGTGCTGCATTTGAACCAGCATGTATATTCATAGTGTTTGTGCAGTTTGTGTGATTTGATCATTGTAGCCATTAGATTCATAATGCAAGTGCGTAAAATTAATGCATGATCCTTAAATTTGCATTGCAGAAAGTAGGTCAGAAAACTGTTAATTGGTTACAGATTATCAACGGTTGAAACAATAGATTGATGTCATAGCTGTATTTTGATTAGAGAACCAGCCAGCCATGTAAGTCTGGATTGTCTGCCCTGAGTGAGTGAATGGTGTCAACCCTCTGTGTTGGACGAGGAGGGACTCCCAGCATGCTCAATAGACAAATCATTCAGAATTCCGAGGTTCGAGTTACTCACTACAGGGAAACTTGCTAAAGACTATTTTTCAGATGATGTGATGTTATGAGTTTGTGATGCGGTGAACAATACGAGATGTCATATTGTTCTCATCAATGAACCAAAGTGATGTTATGTCAGAAGGGTTTTGTATGTGTGTTTGTGAGTGAGAGAGAAATAGAGAGAGATTGAGGGGAAAGAGAGAGCAAGAGAGGGTTGGGGATGGAGTGCTCCTTTTCCTGACAACATCCTGAAATCAGCAATGATTAATTGTTTGCTTGATACCAATACAGCATTTCTTAAATTCATTTCAGGTATGTCAGCACCCTATGTGTGACACTGACATGTTCTCTCACAGCGGGGTGATAGCGTTTGGTGTAATGATACTTACTCTTACTCAAGACCAATTTCATTTTCGTCTTGTACAGATTTCTGAGGCCACGCCAAAAAAAGTCAATCACAAAAATCATCAAAATATCATTTCAAATTTCTTTTTGGAATTCAATTTTAAGGTGATTTACATTCTTCCAGTATTGCTTGACAACAGGTTTTACAAATATACTTTGAACAAAAGAATTAAAAAAAAAATTCTTTTTTTCTTTTCCAGAAGTGTTTAGCTAATGAGTTCAACAAGGGAAAAAACTGGTCTTTTACTTTGCATGTAACACAAAGTGGTGTTGAACCCAACTCACTCACTCACTCACTCATTCACTTTGTATGTACCAGTGTGTGCAATTTAGTCAGTGCCATGAGTAACTTACCTTCTGTATATATTTCTTGTATATTCATATTTTTTGAATATTTTGATATTAATAGTCACCGTTATATTTATATTAATCATCATTCAATCATTGAAGCAATCACTGGATTGTCTGGTCCAGACTCGATTATTTACAGACCGCCGACATATAGCTGGAATATTGCTGATTGCGGCGTTAAACAACAAACAAAACAAATCCATCATGGAAGCTGGTTATCATGACATGTGTAACCTAGTCTACATCACACACAGCAACCAGGGAGTATGACACACAAGCCAAGTACACACAAGATGGATGCCTTATATTCTGTAGCACAAGATAACGAGGGCTGGCTATTGATATAGATTATAGAGATCGATAATTGCTTACTAAATATCGATCAATTATCGATAAGTATTGGAGAATTATGTTTAAGCAAATATGCAAGTAATGTGTTCCTAAAGAAATCAACATGTTTCACACCACTGGTGAGAGGTGACATTATGCATAGATTATTTTGTGGACATTTGAGATTTAACAAAAACAGTTTTCGTCTTTGACGATTGACATTATTGACAATAACCAGTCTGTTTCGGTAAGTCTAAACTTTATTTCTTCATAATAGCTTATGTAAGTTATTATCGGTGACAACAATTTCATATCGATAATCGTTAATATTCGATCGATTATCGATCCTTTTCCCCAGCCCTAAAGATAACATCAATCAGTAAAATGTCCTGTTTTCCAGATTCCCATCATCCACTGCTTTCCACCGAGTACTGAATACTGGGTACTGAGTACTGAATACTGGGTACTGAATACTGAATACCGGGTACTGAATACTGGGTACTGAATACTGAGTACTGGCCTGGTAGAATTATTTGCTTGGCCACATTGACTGAGGAATGCCAGTGTTTGTTCTGACAGTAGTCTTCCAAAAGAATTATCCTGCAGACTATTGGCAGAGTTGCATCCCTTGGCCATACCAGGATCTGAAGTTTGTAGATTTCAAACCTTTTTTCGCCTTTATTCTAATCCTTGAAATGAAATAAATAGACCTGTTTCAGAAATATATTATATGTGAACTATGACAATAGACTCAATAATTTGAGGCAGTTATTTCTAGTTTAACCAATTATTGCAACTACTTTGCCCATGTTTCCCCATGTTGAAAAACTGTCCTTCCTTCATGCTGCATGGGATGTCTTCATTCATGGACAATGAGGGGTATTTGTACATAGCTACATGTGCGTATGTTATTTTTTCTGTATAAATCATGCTAAAATAAGCAATAAAACAGATGGTTCAGTTCCACCTTGTAAATATGAAGTTATGTCAGTGGTCTTTGTCTTTCTGTCATAAACATTTCACATAAAAGAAATTGATTTTATGTTTGAGCTGAGCAGTTCTTCAACATTCTGAAGGATAAACTTATCAATAACAACTGTTTTCCACTTGAAGATGCTGCCATTACTACTTTGTGGTCCCAGGTTGCACTAACTGTGAAGATCCGGGGTAGAATAGGTCTTCAGCAACCCATGCTTGCAATAAAAGGCAACTATGCTGGTCGTAAGAGGCAACTAACGGGATGTTATCGTATCCCAATTGCGTGGACCGATGCTCATGATGTCAATCACTGGATTGTCTGGTCCAGACTCGATTATTTATAGACCGCTGTCAAATAGCTTGAATATTGCTGAGTGGGGCGTTAAACAACAAACCAACCAACTTGTTAACACGAACAGGTGTGCTGAATTAGGAGTGAATGTATGAATATTCAAAGATTACAATGTATATTTCTTATCCAGTCTTCATTTATTTATCTCAACCCAATCCTTTTCCCCTTGCAGTTATTTCCCCGTGAGAAATGCATATGAAGATGCTGTTTTATTCATTGTTTCTGAACATTAATGAGTTGGGAGATTTGTAATAACTGACTAATGACGGACAAATACCACACAGGCTGTGAAATGGGGTGAGAGTGTGTATGAAGCACCCCATAAATATCTGTGTCGTGGGGCGAGTAGAAGCATTTTGTCGCCCTCATAAACTATCAAAGTAGACACTATTTATAGATATCAACTTCTTTATTTACTGTAAAGGTGACGTTTTGGTATAGATCCTCATAACGTTGTCAAGCAAGGCTGAATAATTAACATGGTACAGAGTTTATACAGTAGGTGGGGGATTAACAGTTAACCCCGTGTGCGAAATGGGAACACCTCACTGTGCCCTCACCTATTGTTAAAGGGTACAGGTGTAGTCAGTCGTGGTTAAGTGGGTAACAATAGGGGATCACCTATAGTCTGTTGCATGTCTATATAGAGAAAATAACTGTCAGATTCATAAAATTTCATATACATTTCAACAGTACAATCACTTTACAGAGGCATATATTTCATAAAATTTCATATACTTCATATTGATAGATTACGTATTGCATAAATAAATATACATTTCAAATTCACTTTACAGCAGAAATATTCAGTTCACAATCCAACATATTCAGCCACAGCGTCAACATATTCAATTGGTGTCAGTCTGCCAGTCAACAAGTTGTCCTCTATCAGGATGTTGTCGTCAATTTGGAGATATTTCCTTCACTTTGGTGGCAGTCGTCCTCCGGCGTGAATTTGCATCAATAATGTCTCTGAACGTAATTGTTCATTCTTGATGATGTCAATAAATTTAAAGATGTTTGGATAACTTGGGCCCGATTTCTTCAGCTTGGAGTGCCAGCCTTCTAAGTGATTGGTTGTCCTGGAACCCAGGGTCCCACACTGGTTCCACACGTCTCTCCTGTCGCCGGACAGTCCTTCCTGCAGCGACGCCAATGTATGGTGGTGTTTCTTCTGTTCTTAATTCGGAATCTGTGTCCGTTGAAAACTAAGTTCTGTCCACCTTGGTACTGTACCAATAATGTACATGAGAAAATTGTTCACCTATTATCATCAAATAACAGTTAGGCACTAATTGAACAGAGTTCACCCTCAGAAGAGAGTTCACTTTAATGACACAGACAATACCAAGCGATGAAGTGATCTGTGTCTCTTAATCCCCTATAATCCACAATAACAACATTTTGGGTGAGGGCACAGTGAGGTTAAACCGTGCAAAATACGCATAATGTCGGAAAGTGCACGTTAAATATCAATAGTAAGTAAGTTGCAAACGAGAGATTAACATGAGTACGCTACGTAATGACAACAAAAGGATTATTCTGTAACAACTTTATTTACAAACAACGTAACCTTGATGTTGTATACATGTTACACTTTAGTCATACATGTAAACCTGACACAAATAATATATGCACCCAAGGTCTTGGTAAAACCAGAACGGCAATACATGCACGTCCCGTCTCTTCGCTGACCTCGTCTCCATATTATATAAATCTGACCTCTTACAGTGGGATCTTACGTATATCTGTGACAAGTTCGAGAAAACGAATGATAACGGCGATCTGACCACTTGACTCTCACTAGTCAGCTCTTGCGACAACCATAGACTACATTTGACCGAAATATGACGTCTATCCTATATATCTGATCTCTGGTGTATCATGTTGTACCTACTTATGTCCGTACAACCTGCAACAGTTCCAGTAATAAGCAACGCGTACGGACACAATGATGGGTCACGTGGGGAGTGATTGCGTGCAGCTCATGGGGACGTGTGTCAAGTGAGATTAGGAATTGTTTGATTTGACCGTAGTCTCGTGGCGAGAAAATACATGACAGTAGCGCACGAATGGCAAGCACATGCATGGTGAGGTCAAGAAACTCTCTGCGACAGGTTCTAATGATCTCAACAAATCAGGGTGATTTCAAGGTTATGGAATTGGCAGAGGAAGACTTGTTCAACACAAAATATCGCACGCAGCAATATTCCAGCGGTCTGTAAATAATCGAGTCTTGAGACAATCTAGTGTTTGACATCATGAGCATCGGTCTACGCACTTGAGATACGATGACATTCATCAATCCGTCAGTCGCCTTTTACGACAGACAGGGAATCCCGTGATATACCACTCCTGGAGTAAAATGCTAGAAACTATAAAAATACACTGATTTTAGGGCCATCACCTGCAGATGATCATACGATCGAACCGTGAGCAATCGCTGAAAGCTGCACCGTTCAAAGAAAGTGACGTATGATGTATATAGGACGTCGGCAGACTCGGTACGGCGTTATGGCGTCAGAGAGCGTCACCACTGTTCAGCGACGAATCGAGGTTGTATCTTGACTTGACTGTTCGGAGGCTCGCGGGCGCTACCTGCAATGTATCATGAGACGACCGACGTGGTTTGTGGCTCGGGGATGATCTTGGCTGACATCACCTGTACATCTATACGACACACCCCTTCCCTCTTGACGCACGACTGTGAGGGGTCCCTGATAAGGTTTTGAGGCCAGTAGTTAATAAAAATAGCCTTTTCGCGGAGGATTGGACGTCAGAATTTAAACAGGATAACACCATCCCAAACAAAGGGTGTGTGTATCAATCATGCATCGGGTTTCTTTAGGAATGGGAACATCCGGCTACCGCCTTTCCTAGACAAAAGTCCTGATTTCACCACATTGGACATCCGTGCAACGATCATGGACGTCCTATCCGACCCCCCCCCTCCTGCAGCCCCCCCCCCTCCTGCAGCCCCTCACATTCTGTACCTGCAGCCCCTGACATTCTGTACCAGTCACTCTCTGCAGCCCCTCACATTCTGTACCAGTCACCCCCTGCAGCCCCTCACATTCTGTACCAGTCACTCTCTGCAGCCCCTCACATTCTGTACCAGTCACTCTCTGCAGCCCCTCCCCCCCTGCAGCCCCTCACATTCTGTACCAGTCACTCCCTGCAGCCCCTCACATTCTGTACCAGTCACTCTCTGCAGCCCATCACATTCTGTACCAGTCACTCTCTGCAGCCCCTCACATTCTGTACCAGTCACTCTCTGCAGCCCCTCACATTCTGTACCAGTCACTCTCTGCAGCCCCCCCCCCCCCCCCCCCCATGCAGCCCCTCACATTCTGTACCAGTCACTCCCTGCAGCCCCTCCTCCCCCCCTGCAGCCCCTCACATTCTGTACCAGTCACTCCCTGCAGCCCCTCCCCCCCCCCCCTGCAGCCCCTCACATTCTGTACCAGTCACTCCCTGCAGCCCCTCCCCCCCTGCAGCCCCTCACATTCTGTACCAGTCACTCTCTGCAGCCCCTCCCCCCCCCCTGCAGCCCCTCACATTCTGTACCAGTCACTCCCTGCAGCCCCTCCCCCCCCCCCCTGCAGCCCCTCACATTCTGTACCAGTCACTCTCTGCAGCCCCTCACATTCTGTACCAGTCACTCCCTGCAGCCCCTCCCCCCCCCCTGCAGCCCCTCACATTCTGTACCAGTCACTCCCTGCAGCCCCTCCCCCCCCCCTGCAGCCCCTCGCATTCTGTACCAGTCACTCCCTGCAGCCCCTCCCCCCCCCCCCTGCAGCCCCTCACATTCTGTACCAGTCACTCTCTGCAGTCCCCCCCCCCCTGCAGCCCCTCACATTCTGTACCAGTCACTCTCTGCAGCCCCTCACATTCTGTACCAGTCACCCCCTGCAGCCCCTCACATTCTGTACCAGTCACCCCCTGCAGCCCCTCACATTCTGTACCAGTCACTCTCTGCAGCCCCTCACATTCTGTACCAGTCACCCCCTGCAGCCCCTCACATTCTGTACCAGTCACTCTCTGCAGCCCCCCCCCCCCCCCCCCCATGCAGCCCCTCACATTCTGTACCAGTCACTCCCTGCAGCCCCTCCCCCCCCCCCTGCAGCCCCTCACATTCTGTACCAGTCACTCCCTGCAGCCCCTCCCCCCCCCTGCAGCCCCTCACATTCTGTACCAGTCACTCCCTGCAGCCCCTCCCCCCCCCCTGCAGCCCCTCACATTCTGTACCAGTCACTCTCTGCAGCCCCTCACATTCTGTACCAGTCACTCCCTGCAGCCCCCCCCCCCCCCCCCTGCAGCCCCTCACATTCTGTACCAGTCACTCTCTGCAGCCCCTCACATTCTGTACCAGTCACTCTCTGCAGCCCCCCCCCCCCCCCCCATGCAGCCCCTCACATTCTGTACCAGTCACTCCCTGCAGCCCCTCCCCCCCTGCAGCCCCTCACATTCTGTACCAGTCACTCTCTGCAGCCCCTCACATTCTGTACCAGTCACCCCCTGCAGCCCCTCACATTCTGTACCAGTCACTCTCTGCAGCCCCTCACATTCTGTACCAGTCACCCCCTGCAGCCCCTCGCATTCTGTACCAGTCACTCTCTGCAGCCCCTCACATTCTGTACCAGTCACTCTCTGCA